TGAACTCAAGCAATCCTCTCACCTCAGCCTCCCGAGTAGCTGGGACTACAGGCTCGCCCACTAGGCCCGGCTAATGTTTTTGTTTTTTGCATCTTTTGTAGAGACTGGGTTTTACTATGTTGCCTGGGCTGGTCACAAACCCTTGAACTCAAGCAATTGGCCCACCTTAACCTACCAAACTGCTGGGATTACTGGTGTGAACCACCATGTAGGTCCGGTTCATTTCTTTTTAATGCTGCATAGTATTCTCTTGTACAGATGAATCACTATTTATCCATTCACTCATTGATGGATATGTATATTGTTTCCATTTTGATAACATATACAGTTGCTATGAACATTTGTGCAGAAGACTTTATGTAGACATATGTGTTCATTTGTCTTCCCTATGAACTTTATAAGAAACTGACAAATTGTTTTCCAATGTGGTTGTACCATTTACATTCCTATCAGCAGTGTGTTAGAGTTCCAGCTATTATATATTTCTAGTTTTAGTCATTCTATTGGATGCATGGTAATATATCATTGTGGCTTTAATTTTCATATCATTGATGACTAATGATGTTGAGTGCCTCTTCAAGAGCTTTTGACCATTGGTATGTCTTATTTTATGATGTATCTGTTCAAATATGTTGCCATTTAAAAACAGTAAGTTGTTGTCATCTTATTACTGAGGGGTAAGAGTTCTTTTTCTCTTTTATATTTTCTTTTAATATTTGACTTTTATTAATATGATTTTATTTATTTATTTATTTTTGAGACAGAGTTTCACTCTTTCGCCCATGCTGGAGTGAAGTGGAATGATTTTGGCTCATGGCAACCTCTGCCCCCAGGTTCAAGCGATTCTCCTGCCTCAGCCCCCTGAGTAGCTGGGATTATAGGTGCCTACCACCACGCCTGGCTAATTTTTGTATTTTTAGTAGAGACAGGGTTTCACCATGTTGGCCAGTCTGGTCTCGAACTCCTGACCTCAGGTGATCCACCATCCTTGGCCTCCCAAACTGCTAGGATTACAGGTGTGAGCTACTGCACCAGCCCATATAATTTTCGTTTATAGTTTTTCTCCAGGTGGAAAGAGGTCTTTATATAATCTAGATACAAGTACCTTGTCAGATGAGTGCATTGCAAATGTTTTTCTCAATCTGTGGCTTGCCTTTTAATTTTCTTAACAATGTTTTCCAAAGAGCAATGTTTTTAATTTTAATAAGGTCCATGAATTATTTTTGGAAGCATCTAAAAAAGAGAGAGAGAGAGCATGATAGGTTAAATAGTGGTCTGTCTAGTTTTAATAGTGAGCACATACGAAATTTCAATTCCTTGAAAATTGTCAACTATGTATTAATTAAAGTGTTGGATCAATCAAAACTTTCCTTTTTCTTATTGCCTTTGATAACATAATTTGCTGTATTTATGTGTCCTCATGTAATGACTCTGAAATTTAAATGATATATTAAACCTTTTTTTGTTTGTTTTAAGATAGAGTCTCACACTGTTGCCTGGGCTAGAGTGCAGTGGTGTGATCTCGGCTCAGTGCAACCTCTGCCTCCCAGGTTCAAGCAATTCTCCTCGCTTCAGCCTCCCAAGTAGCTGAGATTACAGGTGCCTGCCACCATGCCCAGCTAACTTACAGGGTTTCATTACGTTGTCCCAGGCTGGTCTTGAACTCCTGACCTCATGATCCACCCACCTTGGCCTCCCAAAGTGCTGGGATTACAGGCATGAACCTCCAATATTAGCCTCCCAACGTGCTAAGATTACACCCGGCCTCCAATATTTTTTTAATGCCAATGTTTTATGCTATTAATAGATGTACAGTAACCAGATATTCCATCTCAACCACATTCATTTTTAAATAGTTTTTATGTGGATGTCTCATTATCCTTATCTAGGCATTCACTGATTTTGGGGGCAAACTATTTTGAGATTTTAAAAATATTTCATTTTAGCCTCAATAAGAATTTTCTCAATGTAGGGACTGAAGTTTTAAATTCATATTTGCCAATATTCTCAAGTAAAAAATTAGAAAATTCTAGTACTGAACCTTTTAATTCACTGGCAACGTACAGCTCTCAAGACAAAAATCTGGGAGGATGGAGAGAAGCTAAGGGAGACGAGGTGTGTCCCTCATAAATAAGAAATGTTGCTAAGTCACAGCTGTCCTTTGTTTTCAGATAAATTAATGAGAATCAATGGAAGCTCTCAGTGCAGCGCAGGGTTGCCTCCTAGGAAGGGGTGTATTTTCAACACGGGATCCAAAGAAATGGTTTATAGCACATTAGTGCCATGGTTTTTGAAGGTTGAATACGGCTTTGTTATTCGACTCTCCAGTTACATCCTCTAGAGGATACTCTCACTGTTGCCCTGGGGGAATAATATCTCAGTAGAGTTACAGAAGGCAATTGTAGGATATGGAGGAGGAAGGACCTCTCCCTCATTACTTTATGCTTTAAAAATTAAATAAACAGTCAAGTGTACTGTTAGCATTTTTCTTTCTCTTCTCCAGTTTCTGGAAGCAAAAAACAATAAAGAATTAAAGAGTACGGGAAAAAATTCATTTTCCTTAGTAGATATGATTTTTTTTTTCTTTTTTTTCTTTTGACAGAGTCTCATCCTGTCTCCCGGGCTGGAGTGCAGTGGCGCAATCTCAGCTCACTGCAACTTCCGCCTCCCGGGTTCAAGCAATTCTCCTGCCTCAGCCTCCTGCGTAGCTGGACTACAGGAGCTATGCCTGGCTAATTTTTTTGTATTTCACTCATCATGTTGCCCAGGCTGGTCTCAAACTCCTGAGCTCAGGCAATCCATCCACCTCGGCCTCCCAAAGTGCTAGGATTCACAGGCGTGAGCCACCACACCTGGCCCCTTTTGCCTAATATTAATTTACTGAACTAAACATCATACACTTATGGCCTTCCTTCTTTTAGTAATTCATATCAGCATGAATATTTAGAAATAAGAAAATTTTGAGGAGAAAGATTTAGTATGTAAATATGAACATCTGCTATCCACCTGAAGAGAGATATTTAATTCTAAAGCTAGGACATATATTTTGTAAAAACTAGTAGAGCCAGGCCTGCTGTCTGTATCAGCCCTACCCAGGCAGGTTTGGGATAAGGGAGGGAGTGAAGAGGGAAGGTAAGTCCCCAGAGTTCCCTTATCTCAGCCACAGCAAGTAAATCCCTGGAAAAAGCAGGAGACACTTTCCCGGCTAGTCCTCCTAGCCTCCCACCCTACCCCGCCTCTTTTTAGAATTTCTGAAAAAAGGATATGGTCAGAGAGAAGAAGGCTGGAGAGAAACAAATGGGAAACAGCGATTCCAGGCTCAGTATGGGGTGTGTGTCAGAAAACTCAGGTCACCCTTGTTTTTTTTTTTTTTTTTTTTTTGAGACGGAGTCTCGCTCTGTCTCCCAGGCTGGAGTGCAGTGGCGCTATCTGGGCTCACTGCAACCTCCGCCCCTCCAGGTTTTAAGCAATTCTCTGCCTCAGCCTCCGGAGTAGCTGGGATTACAGGAGTGTGCCACCATGTCCCGCCAATTTTTTTTTTGTATTTTTAGTAGAGACGGGGTTTCACCATCTTGGCCAGGCTGGTCTTGAACTCCTGACCTCATGATCCATCCGCCTTGACCTCCCAAAGTGCTGGGATTACAGGCGTGAGCCACCGCGCCCGGCTACCATTGTTTGTTTTCTAGTCGTAATGCTTTCACTTATTTTATTAGCTGAACGACCTTGGACAAGTACTTTCACCCTTTCTGTTAAAACAACTCATTTTCCTACCATCATGTGCCTCTTTAAAAACAAGTAAGAGAATTGTATTGATCAGAATAACTTGCTTCTAGAAATATCTGGGGCAGGAAGGTCACTAACTGATGGAAAGTACTATTTCTTTTTCCTTGAGTACTAGAACTAGCCCAGTATAACACTGCATATACTTTTCCTTTCTTTGAGTCAGATCTCAGCTAGTATACTCTAGTAAGTATTGATGAAATTGTATGAAAGGTGAAGTAAGTTTCTCTTTTGAGACAGGAGAGTGAACCTATGTGCACTCACCTTCCCCCATGACCTCACAGAAATAAAAGTAAATAAGCACAGGGAAAAAAAAAAAAAAAAGCATGTAGTAGGGAGAAGTAAAAAGCAATAAACTGGAAATTTCAACAAATTCCTAAAATAAAGTGAAAGGAGAGAGTTAATGGTTAAAATGGGTAGAATACACAAGATAAAATGACAATTGGAAACTTGAGAGAAACAATTCTGAACAATAAAGTCACAGACCACACATGAAGCAAACTACAACTGGACAGGAATATAAGCAGTTAACGGAGTGTATGAAAAAGCAATTCATTTGACCTTCATGCTAGAAATAGCCTCATTTGAGAGACCCAGGGGTTATAACATTAAGTCCATGGAAAAGAAAATATCCTAGCACATTAACATTGAACAATGTTTATATTAATCATAATTGAGTATGTGTAGTGTATTGGATTCTTTTTTTCTTTTCCTTTTGGAGACAGAGTCTCTCTCTGTCACCCAGGTTGGAGTGCAGTGGCACAATCTTGGCTCATGGCAACCTCCATCTCCCAAGTTCAAGGATTCTCCTGCCTTCCAACTAGCTGGGACTACAGGCGTGCACCACCATGCCCAGCTAATTTTTTTGTATTTTTAGTAGAGGCAGCGTTTCACCATGTTGCCCAGGCTGATCTCAAACTCCTGAGCACAGGTAATCACCTGCCTTGGCCTCCCAAAGTGCTAGGATTACAGGATTGAGCCACCGTGCCCAGCCTGTTTCTATTTTTAAAAAAATATTTTAAATAACTTTATTTTTTAGAACTATTTTAAATTTACAGAAAAATTGCACAATAGTACAGAGAGTTGCTATATACCCTGTAGTCAGTTTCCCCTATTATTAACATCTAACATTAGTATAGCCCATTTGTTACAATTAATAAATGAGTACTGATATGTTATTAATAACTAAAGTTCATAACTTATGCAAATTTTTAAATTTTCTCCCTCATGTCTTTTTTCTATTCTAGAATCCCATTGCATCCAGGTTATCACATTTCATTTCGTTGTCATGTCTTCTTAGGCTCCTCTAGGCTACAGCAGTTTCTCAGGCTTTTCTTGTTTTTGATGATTTTGAGTTTTGAGGAGTACTGATTAGGGTTTTGTAGACTGTCTCTCACTTGGGATTTTTTTTTTTCTTATTATTAGACTGGCGTGATTGGTTTTGTGAGGAGGACCGCAAAGGTAAGGTGCCATTTTTATCACATGAAATCAAGAGTACATTCATACTATGTATGGATAGTACATACTATTGGTATGACTGTTGGTCCTGACCTCAATCACCTGATTGAACTAGAGTTACCAGGTTTCTCCAATGTATGGTTACTTGTCCTCTCCCCCTTTCCTTACTATACTTTTTGGAAGGAATTATATAGATTTTTAACTTCTAAAGTCAACCTATAAAAAAATTAGAACATAGTTTTTTATGATGGCAGTACACAATACAAATATTAACCATTTCGTGAGTTGTAAAGTATAGCGGTCAACAATGGAAGAGAGAAGAAAAGTTCAGGAATGGGAAGGGGAGCCACTACAATTTATAGAACAGAGAGCCCACAGATATGCTATTAAAAAGAAATAGAAATTTGAGTACTTACTGAAAAATATAAAAAAGTAGTTCCAAAAGAGGAAATAAAATAAATGATTACTGTTATTAAACATTGGGAAGAGGAGGATAATATGAGAGATGTGCTCATTTTTATATTGTGGAATTAACTGCTATTGACTAAAGTTGGTAAACCAAGAAGAGCAATATAGAGTGCAATGGAAGTAAACACCAAGTGATCTCATACCAGATGAAACAAGGAAGTTTTTCTCTGCAGAAGAACTGGAGCTGAGCACGAAGGGGAGGGAGGAAAGGCTGTTGCTTTTCAATGGAAATTCTTTTATACAATGTGATTTATTACCACATGCACAAATTATTTGCTTTAAACAAAAGATGATGTATAGGGTAGTACCAGGACTCCTACTGGACAACCTGGTATGACCCCTTTTTTGGGCAGCACCCACCCAGCTTCAGTTATACAAGCAAACCGGTGAACTGCCTAACCTTCATCCACACAAACCACATTACAATGTGGTGTTTTGTTGGAACCTCACTTGTGAGATAGTGAAAGGAGCAACCATCTTAGGTCTTTGATTTGTAGGAAAGGCATTAAAAAAAAGAACTTCCTTTGTTTCCCTGGGATTAAAGATTAGGAAGATTTCAGTTGCAAAAAAAAAAAAAAAAAAAAGAAAAGAAATTGGCTGAAAGATGTGTCCAATTGTCTCTGGTTGCAAAGTATTGGCAATCAGTAGAAATCCTCTGTGTGTTTCCTGTGTTTAGCATTTATATAACATGTTTCAAGTTTAAAAGCCCTTTACTGTCATTAGCTAATTATCTCCCAAGGGCTGCAGGGTAGTTAGAGGAAATGTTGGAACCAAGCCAGTTTTTAGAGCTGTAAGTTGTATACACACATACAACTGTGGCAGCCTTGATTCAGGGTGTAGTTGTTACACCATTTCCCACACATAGATCAATCAGTTAGTGTGTGGATATTCAATCTCTGAAGTTCTTTTTCTAGACTTCACATTTTCTTCTTAAGAAGTACAACTTACTGAAACAGAAGAGCACTTATTCTAATAGCACCTCTCCTAAGTGTCTTGAAAATAAACATTGTTGATAGTTTTAGGTTCATCATCAAATCAGAATCCCTGAAGTGAGACCTGAGTTTGGCACTCGAGGCGTGCCCTGGGTGATTCCAGCGAAGAGCCACTCTCAAGAACCACGGACTTAAATGGCCAATAGAGGTTCCCCACACCCACCATCAATAACTATATCTCCAAAAAGAATGAAACACAATATGTGGCTACAGAGAACTTTTTATACACGCTAATCATTAATAAATATTAAATCTTGTTTTATGCCAAATATTTATTTTACATTATCAAAGTGCTCAAGAAATTTGGAGGATATAGAAAAATAAATATGCATATATATCTAAAAAGTCATCACAAAGAGAATCATTGTTCATGTTTTGGAATTATTCTTTCCATCATTTTATTTCATTGCTTTGTCTTTTTTTTTTTTTTTTTTGAGACAGAGTCTCGCTCTGTCTCCCAGGCTGGAGTGCGGTGGCCTGACCTTGGCTCACTGCAACCTCCGCCTCCTGGGTTCAAGCAATTCTCCTGCCTTAGCCTCCCAAGTAACTGTGACTAAAGGTATCTGCCACTACGCCCGGCTACTTTTTGTATTTTTAGTAAAGACGGGGTTTCACCATATTGGCCAGGCTGATCTCAAACTCCTGACCTTGTGATCCGCCCGCCTCGGCCTCCCAAAGTGCTGGGATTACAGGTGTGAGCCACCGCGCCCAGCCTTTTCTTTCTTTCTTTCTTTTTTTTTTTTGAGACAGGGTCTCACTCTGTCATCCAGGCTGGAGTGCAGTTGCGTGTTCACAGTTCACTGCCACCTCGAGCTCACAGACTCAAGCGATCCTCCCGCCTTAGCTTCCCAAGTAGAATAGCTGGGCACATACCATCATGCCGGACTTGCTTTGTCTTTTAAGAAAATTTATTGAGGTAGCAGTTATCAGATTTCATATTGGCTCCATACACCAATAGACCTAAGCAGTTTTGTATCTTGCTTTTCAAATTTGCCATTATAATAAGCATTTTTCACTGTTTCATGCTTTAAAAGTCATCTCTGAAAATGAAATGAGGCAAACAGGAAAAATTATATCCGTGATTACACCAAAATAGAAATACAGGTACTTGCAGAGCACAGGCCAACAATATTCTCTACTTTGGTGTCCGTTTAGAATCCTTCAGATCAGCAGAAACTAGAACTTGAACTCAATTTCTGTAGCCACATTCTGACTATATTTGGTGTGTGATGCCCTCTACTGGCTGTTCTAGGATGGTGCCTTTTCCGTTTGTAAACTGTGTAAGGACTCTAAAGAAAGGGGGTTTAGATTGTGTCCGTGCTTGTTTGAATGTTCTATGTCTGTATTTTTATTTATAGGTGTCGCTTTCATGTAGAATTGAAGCTATATGAATACAGGAGCTGGCTGTGTGTCTGTTTCCTGTTTTTCTTTCAAGAAACATTTTAAAGAATCTACCACATGCCAGGTATGGTGCTAGGAAGCTGGAGACACAAAGATGAAATCTCCCCCTTCAAGTGGCTCATTATCTTAACTACTGGGAGAGACAAAGTCAGGCAGCGGAACCTACTCAACATGCCTTGAGTATTCCAGCAGAAAAACCTGATTCTCTGTAGTCAGTGGTCTTTATCTAGAAAAATCATCCTCTCCAATGAAGTGTCCAGCTTTTGGAAAAACACATGTGGCAGAGTCAGGAAGAAATGGGACACCATCTTAGCAGGACAGATCCAGCAAATCAATTCTGGCAATCAGTGGGGTTGACCGATGTCACAGCCAGCTTGCTCTCAATATACTTGGTAAATTAAAATTTATGATGGAGTGTGACACAAGAGTAAGATAAAATGAATGGCAATAATTCAGAGTTGTAATTGAGTTCCTATAAGGCAATATACTTCATTTTCCAGAAAAGTGTACTTTATATAATATGTAACCAACGAAGGAAGGTATAATTACATTTTGAAAGCACTTTGTGTTTGGAACTTTACTTTGCTTTCTTGGAAAACAAATTCATATAGGATTAACCAGTTTTTTTTTTTTTTTTTCCAAATCTGATGATGACCTGGAGCATAGGATAAAGCATTCATGATCACTTACATAGTTACCTGATATGTATTAATAGTTCTGTTTGACCACATTATGCACAATTATATAAAAATCCTCTATAGATTAGCAAGGTCTCTCTCTCTCTCTTTTTTTTTTAAACCTGAGGACCCTGATGATGGTATTGGCTCTACAAGGTTGGCTCCATACACCAATAGACCTAAGCATGACTAAACGATATCATAAATATGAAGCCAGCAATTGCTGATTGTGTGGTCTTAGGTGAGTTACTTAACTTCTCTTCAGTTTTCCTTGTTTGGGAGTGGGTATAACCTACCTTATTGTAAAGAAATAGGCTTGTAAAGTATCCATCAACATTCCTAGCAGAGCACAGTAGGTACGTCAAAACGACAGAGATGCAAGCTTAAGCTCTGGAGCCAGGCTGACTGGGTTTGAATCTTGGTGCTACGCTTTATTAGCTTTGTGACTTGGTATCTTTACCTTTCTGGGTCAGTTTCCTCATTGCTACATTGAGGGTGATAATAATACCTACAATCATAGCATTGTTGAGCAGATAAAATGAGTTAACACCTGTAAAGTGCTTTGGAACATTTATGAACATATAGGGTTTAATAAAGGTTAATTGTAATTTATATTGCTATTCCTTTCAGCTGTTAGAGACACTTGCATCTTTTTGTAGTTCTATATTAAAACCAGGGAGAGACATCTTCCCATGTATAAAATAACATTTCACTCAGTGCTGTCACACCAGCTGTTTTCAGCAGTTTCCCATTATTGTGACCCTGTAACTAGCTCTCCTTTGATATGACCTCAGATCCTCAGTAGAAATTACTTTAAGTTTGGCTGTTTGGCTATACAACAGTAATTGTTAGCTCTTGACTTCCCTCTCTAAGCGTCTATGGATTCTCTAAAGAACATGGAGGAAGATGGCCGGGCGCGGTGGCTCATGCCTGTAATCCCAGCACTTTGGGAGGCCGAGACGGGTGGATCACGAGGTCAGCAGATCCAGACCATCCTGGCTAACATGGTGAAACCCCGTCTCTACTAAAAATACAAAAAATTAGCCGGGTGTGGTGGCTGGCGCCTGTAGTCCCAGCTACTCGGGAGGCTGAGGCAGGAGAATGGCGTGAACCCGGGAGGCAGAGCTTGCAGTGAGCCAAGATCTCCACTGCACTCCAGCCTGGGCGACAGAGCAAGACTCTGTCTCAAAAAAAAAAAAAAAAAAAGAACATGGAGCAAGAATTATCTAGTGGCAAATTAGGAAAGCGTCGTGTAATCAAGACTTTCCTTTGCAACTCTATTGTCACCTTCTCTCCAAAGTAATTGTATGACACAGTGATTTTCTGCAGAAGAAGCTCTGAGACCTCATTTCAGTCTAAGTTTTTTCATCATTTCGTTGATACTCCTCCCCTTCAACATACATAGTGACAATTTGCTATGTACAGGCCATACAAAGGGTTGCAAAGAAGGGTCTCCACACTCAAAGAGGGTGAACAAGGAGCAAGGCAAGGATATAACTAATTCACTCACTAATTATAGCAAAAATCCAACTGTGAGAACCACTTAAAAAGTTACACAGAGTGAAGGGGATTCTGATTAAGAACTTTGGAAGAGGTTTACAAAGAGGCAACACTTATATTGAGCCTGAAGAATGGCAAAGGAAGAGAGGAAACATGATAGAGGCAGAGAGTTCAACATGAGCGAAGGCCAGGAAATGTGAAATACACAGCTTGTTCGGGGAACAGCAGATGGGCCTGTGTTGTTAGAGTGGAAGGAATGTAGGCGGATAGCTAGGAGATAGGAACAAAGGTCCCTGGCTCCTCAGGGAGTCCACTCACCTAGCTCTTCTGAGGTTCCAGGGTGGGGCTTCTCTGACAACTCCCTCAGGATCAGGTCCTAGGTGTAACCTCACATTTCCTCCTTCTCCCAGAAGTCTTCTCTTGACCTCAGACCTATATTCTTTTACAGCTTCACATAAAAACCCTATGTTTTATTTTACATCGGACCTTGCTGGTCTGGCATTATTTACCTGCCACCTGTTGTAAAATATATGGAAGATGAAATGGCATGAGACTTTGTACAAAGCATTGGCCCTTTAAGATAAAAATCTGAGCCTAACAAAGTAAGAGCAGGTCAGGCAGCCTAGCTAGACTGTGGGGGGTGGGGGACAGTGGGTGGGAGAGAGATAACTATGAAGTAAGAAAATGATGCTTGGTACATTGTTGGTGTTCAGTCAATATTCAGTCAATGTTCAGTCAATATTCGTTGAATAAATGAATTAGGAGACAGCTTGATAGACTCTCAAGTATTGTGGGGTATCTCTGCAGTATGGCCATCTGCCTCTGGAACAGCACCTCCTATTTGGGAAAGAGGAAGGAAGGGGAGAAAATATATGTGTATTCTGGCTCTCCATGCATTTGTGCCAAGGTCAGGTTTGTTCTTGAGTTAGGAATCCCTTGTCTGGCAGTCTTCTCTTTTAGGGAAGAAGGGCGTGTGTGTGTGTGTGTGTGTGTGTGTGTGTGTGTGTGTGTGTGTGTATGTACAGTGACCCAATATTTATTCCCTTCTAGTCATGCCAACACCTAAAAACCTCAGGCTACAAAATCATTTCTTTGCCAGAAGGTAAACTGGGAGAAAATGATAAGAAAAAAAAAGCTAAGAACATTCAGTGAGAACTCAGTTTTCTTGGTAAACATATATATTTGGCACTTAAGATGCAAAGAAGTCTTGATTCTAATCCCAAAGAGCTTTTAATGTGGGAAGACATAAAGCCAGAATATTTAATGCATGGGAGATAGTGCAGGCACAGAACCCAAGGCCTTGCTACTCTACGTGTGGCTCCACCAGCGGCAGCATCTCCTGGAATTTTGTTAGAAATGCAGCCTGTTGGCTGGGCGCGGGGGCTCATGCCTGTAATCCCAGCACTTTGGGAGGCTGAGGCGGGCAGATCACGAGGTCAGGAGATCGAGACCATCCTGGCTAACACAGTGAAACTGCGTCTCTACTAAAAATACAAAAAATTAGCTGGTTGTGGTGGCTGGCGCCTGTAGTCCCAGCAACTCGGGAGGTTGAGGCAGGAGAATGGCATAAATCCAGGAGGCGGAGCTTGCAGTGAGCCGAGATGGCACCACTGCATTCCAGCCTGGGGGACAGAGTGAGACTCCATCTGAAAAAAAAAAAAAAAAAAAAAAAGGAAAATGCAGACTCTCCAGTTCCATTCAAGATTGACTGAATGTGATTTTGTCGTAACAAGTCCCTAGGTGAATCATATGCATATTGATATTTGAGAAGTACTGACCTAGGGGGTGGGGATGGGATCTGGGACTGTTTCTTAGAGGAAATAAATCCTGAGCTGTGTTTTGAAGATGAGTACAGTTAACCAGGTGGTGTTCCAAGTAGAGGAAAACAACATAAGCAAAAGTTCAGTGGTATGAAAAAGCACAGGGGCGTTTTAGGAACCTGTCACCTAAAACTGCTAATCAAAAGAGAGAGTGTGGGAGAGAGGAGGCGAGGGAAATGCAGAGAGATGACGCAGTTCAGGCAGTGGCCAAATCCTGCTGCATGTGTTCTAGGGTAAGGAGCTTTGACTAGACTTAATCCTTGATAGAGATGCATGATGACATGTTCAGATTTGCATTTAGATCACTGCAACCCTGAGGAGGCTGAAAGGTAGAGAGATTAATTAGGAAGCTGAGGCAATAGTTTTGGAGAGAGATAATGAGAGTCTAAACTTAGGTTGTGGCAGTGGGGATGAAGAGGAGGGGGCAGGTTTAAGACATTTTAGGAGCTAATAAACAGATGAAAGACTTCAGAATGGATTGGAGGTGGGAGGATAAGGGAGGGCTGAGTCTTGACTAGATGACTCGTAAGCTGGGATTAGTGCATGGCTGTTCATGATGCCACTAACAGAGATGAAAAGATACAGGAGGATGAACAGGTTTGAAATTATGAGTTTGGTTTTCAAAATGTTCAGCTCAGGTGAATAGAAAACATGTATAGATGGTCTCTGACTTACTATGGTTTGACTTCATAGCTGTGTGAAAGTGGTGCATTTAGTAGAAACTGTAGTCCAATTTTGAATTTTGATCTTTTTCCAGGCTAGTGACATGAAGTAGGATACTCTTTTGAAAGGCTGGGCAGTGTCTCCCAGTCAACGACATAATCACAAGGGTAAACAACTGATATTCTACAATGTACTGTGCTGCCAGATGACTTTGCCCAACTGTAGGCTAATGTAAATGTTCTAAGCACATTTAAGGTAGGTTAGGCGAAGCTATGATGTTCAATAGGTTAGGCATATTAAATGCATTTTTGAATTGTGATATTTTCAATTTATGAAGGGCTTATTGGGATGTAACCCCAAGTAAGCAGAGGAGTATCTGCATAGAAGGGAAAAAAGGAGGAAACAAGAAAAGGAAGGAGAATAGCATGAATCAATCAGGATGGAGGAGGAAAAAAATGCCCTGCCCATTTTTGGGGCAACACTAATACACATAGTGTATCTGTGAGCTTTTCTTGTAGTTGTATTTCCAGAGGTTGCCTCCGTGTTTCCAGCAACTGGGTGGACCCTGAAGAAAAGTAAATAATTTGATTCATGATTTCCTATCTGGTGACCAACTCATTGTTGCCACCGTTTGCTCTATGAAAAAAAAAAGTCTTTTGATCTGTGGTTCAAACTGCTCCAATGTCAGTTTGTCTTTTTCCAGATTCCTGAATGTATAAATAACTTTGTCCATGTCGCAAACACTGTTTCCAAAGTGGCAATAATACAATCCAGTATGTGTGTGTGTGTTTCTAGAGGTCATCCTTCAAGCTCTGGATGACTCTTCTGCCACAAATCTTACCCATCTGTGAATGTTACAGCTCTTTTATTTGCACCTTAAAATTCAGAACTAGATCATAGCCTGTCTCTAAAGTCATTTTTTCTAGACTTGACATTTTCTCAAGGAGTACAGGTTACTGAAACAGAAGAGAAATTAGTCCAATAACATCTCTTGTAAATGTCTTAAAAATAAACATTGGTGACAGTTTTAGGTTCATTATCAAATCAGAATCCCTGAAGTGAAACCTGAGTATTGGCACTTACTAAAAGTACACTGGAGGATTCCAGAGTAGAGTCACAATCAAGAACCACTAACTTGGCCGGGCGCGGTGGCTCAAGCCTGTAATCCCAGCACTTTGGGAGGCCGAGATGGGCGGATCACGAGGTCAGGAGATCGAGACCATCCTGGCTAACACGGTGAAACCCCGTCTCTACTAAGAAATACAAAAAATAGCCGGGCGAGGTGGCAGCGCCTGTAGTCCCAGCTACTCGGGAGGCTGAGGCCGGAGAATGGCGTGAACCCGGGAGGCGGAGCTTGCAGTGAGCTGAGATCCGGCCACTGCACTCCAGCCTGGGCTACAGAGCGAGACTCCGTCTCAGAAAAAAAAAAAAAAAAGAACCACTAACTTAAATGGTCAAGAGAGACCCCACCTCCGCATCACTAAGTATATCTTCAAAGAAAATGAAACATAATATTTGGCTAAAGAGAACTTTTAATAAACAGTAGTCATTAATAAAAATGAAATCTTGTTTTATGCCAAATATATATTTTACATTATGAAAGTGCTCGAGAATTTGGAGAATATAGAAGAATACATAATCACGTGTATACAAAAAGTCATCACAAAAAGAATCATTGTTCATGTTTTAGAATTCTTTTTTTTTTCTCCAGGCAAGAACTTTAATGAATTGAACTGTTACCGACAACATGAAACACCAGTATAATATATACAAAATTATCATTTTATTTCAGGATAAAATTTATCATGTTGGCAACAGAATATGTCCTGCCGACCTCCAAGTGGATGGCATAGTATATCCACCCCATGATAGGCCCACTGGGACTGTGGTGAACATGCCTGTACCTCAGTACAAAGTCCCCTTTCCCTGAGAAATGTACAGAAGGATAGATGAAGAGCGTGTATTCAAAAGGAAGAGGAAGAAGCTGGGTGCCCTGTGCCCCGAGCTCAGAACTTCAGGGGGATGGCCGGCTAGTACTTGGGCTGCTTTGGGTCACAGCGCGTGTCAAAGCTCAGCTGCACCGTAGCCTCCATGGCCTGAATCTTGGCGGCGCTGTCTCAGTACAAACGCTTCATCTCGGCCTGGCGCCGCTCACCAGGCCTCTCAAGTTGGGGCGTCTACCGACGGGCGGGTGTTGCAGTACAGGTCGTGGTCAGCGTTCACAAGCTGTCCAGGCGCTCTGCATCCGGCTGCCGCCGCCGCCGCCGTTCTTCTCTGTGCCTCTCGGTCTCTGCAAAGTACTGGCGGAGCTCTTCGGTGATTTCCACGTTGCTCAGGTCACATTCTACCTCTGCATCTGACTCGATCGCCATCTCTTCCTCTTTAGACAAAGCTTAGTCTTCTCTTATGGATGCCTGGATCCTACTGCTGCCATGTGGATGCTGCCCAGACCCTCTGAAAAGTGAAGAACTGCAGGGGGAGTCCTGCTAGGCCACATGATGGTCATAGAAGGACTGACGATATGCAGCCTGGTTATCGTAAGAGCTTTGGGGAAGAAGTGCAGGAAGGAAGTACCATGGAAGACTGAAACAGGATTCCGCCGCCTTCCTGTAGGCATTGTGGTGGCTTTGCATCCAAGACATTGCTTGATGATAATGTTGCCAGTATCTTGCATATACTGGATGAGGATACCAAGGCCTGGTAGCTTTTGATGTTGTTGCCTTCACCGCTGCCATCTCCGATTGTTAAAGTCCAAATGGGTGCCGAAACTTGTGGGCATGCAGCTTGCAGATCCTGCGTGGTGGCCAAGCAGGCCATATTTTAGAAATCTTTCCAGGCGGGTCGCGTTGGCTCACGCCTGTGATCCTAACACTTCGGGAGGCCGAGACGGGGCTGGGAGTGGGGGGATTGCTTGAGCCCAGGAGTTGGAGACCTGCTTGGGCAACATGGCAAAACCCCCATCTCTATAAAAATAATTTAAAAATTTTTAAAAGAATTATTATTTCCATTTTATTTCAATGCTTTGTCTTTCAAGAAAATTTATTGACAGCGATAATCAGACTCCATATGCAATTTTGTATCTTGCTTTTCAAATTTGCCACAGGCTTCTAAAAACGTCCCAGACTTCTGTGTCTCCATGGAGGAAACTCTGCAAGTACTTACAAATGTTATGATTAGTCATCCGTAGCCAATACAAAGCAAAAGTTAGGCTTGCAATTTTATTAGTTAGGGCAGGAAGAAGGCATTCCAACCGGCTTCTTTCGCTCTTGCCAGGTTCAAACATGGCGGGCCGCAGCCGGCCCTTCCCGTACACTCGGCTTGCTTTCCCACAACCCCTGCCAATCTTTAGCGCTCCTTTTTTACCTTCCTTCCCCATCAGCGGCTCCGGAGGGTCAGCACCTCCGATCATGACAGCGGACCTGCTTCCCGCCCCCACGCGAGGGCCCGCCCACCAGCCCGCGCCAGCCAATAGCAGGCCGCGCCGACAGGACTGGTAGCGCCGGTCGGCCCCGCCTCCCCAGCCTCGCTGTGGCCTGCGGCTCCCGGGCTGGTAGCGCCGCTCTCGGTCGCGCGGACTGATCGTGTGGAATCGCGGGTCGCGGACGCTCGCCGCCGGCCGTAGCTCAGCCCAGCGCCTCCAAGGCCGACGGCCCCCAGCCTCTGCCATGGACTTCGAGGACGGTAAGCACTGCCTCTGGCTGGTCGGCGCGGCTAGCAGGAGGCGGGGTGGCCTGCGCTGGGGGTCTGTTTACCGTCTCAAGATGGCCGTGTGGGCTTTGTTCTGCGGGCCCGGAGGCCGCCGGCCCGCCCGCCCCGGGCCCAGCGCCCGGAGTCGGCCTCTTTGGGGACCCGCGCTCCCCGATTCGGCCCGCTCGGCGCCCGCTGCCGGCGGAGACAGGAGAACTCGGTGCCCGGTAGGACGCGCCTAGAGCGCAAGAACCTCCGGGCTGGAGCCGCAGACTCGCCTTGGCCCCTGGTAGTGGAAATTGCCCCGACGTCTCCAACTTCCCGGTCTCGGCCAAACGGGCGAGTGCGGCCTCACCCACCTAGTCTCGCATTCGCCCCACAGGGCAGCGACCCAGACTGTGTGCTTAGTTAATCCTCAGCCTCGGGTTACTTCTTGCCAGATAGAATTTTCAGAGGCTTGTTCACAGTGATGTTTCTGGTTGTCCCAGTTTAAGATGAGTTGAAAGGGTGTCTTTAAGTGATGTGTATAGATAGATATCTATGCAAAATGGAAAGCAAGATGTTTCCTGGTTAGCAAACTGGGGTGTTTATCATCAAAAATTACCTGCTTGTTAATCCCAAATTTGAAATATTTATGTAAACCAAAGCACTTTTCTTTGGATCGTGTGTAGATAGGATTGAAGTTAGTCAGAATTTTGGCACAGCAAGCATCAAATGTCCTTCACATTTGGACCTTTACACAGCCTTGTAAGTGTTCGACCTATGGATTAAATAAACTATTTTAGCAATACCTTTTAGTTGTCTCAGATACTAATTCTTTAAACTACTTTTACAGGGTCACAAAGTAATATTCATTTGGTCTTCACTTTTGTTTTCAAACCTTGCTAGGAATTGGTGTCAAGATAAAGTGGTATGTAGTGACAACATTAGGGAGACATGGGAAAGGACTTGTATGATTAAACTGGATTTAATCCTGAGTAACCAGGCATGCTTAAGTAAAACCAGTTTGCTAAGTAGGCTGTAAACCTTTGACCCCACCAAAAAAATGATCTTTAAATGAGGTGTGATCTCAGCATATGTCTTACTCAATGAGCTTTTGATTTTTCATAAGATTTCATGCAACAAAGAATTAAAGCTTTCACATCTAGGTACAGATTTTTGAAAGGGGACTGGAATCGCCCTCTTGTAGATACTTTTCAGTTACTTTGAAATAGTAAATTCAGCTCTTAAGAGTAACACACTGTTGTGGTTTTGTTTGTTTTAGTTGGACTTTGACTCATTTTGATGTAGATACCTTTAAACTGTGACTGTTTGGGCCGGGCACCACCGTGGCTTACGCCTGTAATCTCAGCCCTTTGGGAGGCCGAGGCAGAAGAATCACTTGAACCTGGGAGGCAGAGGTTGCAGTGAGCCGAGATCGCGAGCCTGGGCAACAAGAGCCAAACTCGGTCTCAAAAAAAAAAAAAACAAAAAAAACCCCCACAAAAAACAAAACAAAACAAAAAAAAACTCAACAACAAAACAAAAAACTCCGAATACTTGAAGTAGCCAGAGTTGGGAGTGAAAATAAGAAATATATTATTGTATTTTCATGCTAAAGTTTGATGATAATGCCAACACCCAAGGTATAGCAGAAGCTAACAAAGTGGAGATGGGGCAGTGGAAACAGTTATTTCCCCTCCCCACCCAAGGCAATAAGGGAATCCATTTTCTATAGAGAACTGAAAAACAATAATAAAACGTAGTATGTTTGCTTTCTATTAGTGCTGTATGCCTACAGTTCTAAATAGTGTCAGTGATAAAAATGCTAAACAATATTAGTGATGAAATACTCCCTCTCTCATTGTCCAAATACACCACTGCTGTATTTGGAAGATGGAATTTGACTAACGCCATATATGAATCTATTCCTGCGTAGTGTGGCAGGATTCTGTTGTATCCAGATGACCACTATATTAAATTCTGTTCTTCCAGTATATGTTTGTAAAATTAACTACGTATATATTTGTAAAATTAAAGAATTTAACAGTTGTTAAATTAGTTTTGACGAGGAAATTGGCAATATGGTTTTCAGTGATGACACATTCTGGATGAATATAGAACACAGTCATATACGTATATGCATATGCATGTCTCAGATGAGATCTTGAAATCCTTTTTTTTTTTTTTTTTTTTTTGAGACAGAGTCGCTCTGTCGCCCAGGCTGGAATGCAGTGGTGCAATCTTGGCTCACTGCAACTTCCGCCTCCTGGGTTCAAGTGATTCTTCTGCCTCGGCCTCCCTCGTAGCTGGGACTACAGGCGCGCACCACTAGGCCCGGCTAATTTTTGTATTTTCAGTAGAGAAAGGGTTTCACCATAATGGATAGGCTGGTCTTGAACTCCTGACGTCGTGATCTGCCCACCTCGCCTTCCCAAAGTGCTGGGATTACAGGAGTCGCCATCGTGCCCGGCCAAGATCTTGAAATCTTTAAAGAGCAAATTAAATGGTAAAAGAAATTAACTTAGCAAAAATGTCATGTTAGGTACAATTCTCACATGTCTTTGCTTTTGCATTATTTGATACATAATTTAATCTTTCTGCCTTTTGTTACTTGGTACAAATCAGTGCTGAATCCCCTCTTTTGGCTGTTACTATGTATCAGGTGTTGTAAACTAATGTTTACCATAATTCGAATAATAAACCTACCATTTGGGGAGACAGTGAAGCAAAAAGAGATACTTTTTTCCCAAATGGAGTATTAGTAATTATTTGTTTTAATTATTCTCAATTTTGCAGATAATTGGGTTAATGTCATTTAAAAAATTGTACTTGTTTTTGACTAGTTGGGTATATGCTTTTGAATTATTGCTAATATCATACTAATTCCTTTTTGTTAAATGTGTCTTCATAGATTACACACACTCCGCCTGCAGGAATACTTATCAGGGTTTTAATGGTAAGTATCCTCTTTCAGCTTTTCTCTTCATGCCCATAAAAATATATATATATATATATATATATATAGAGTATCAATGTAGAAAGTCGGTTCTACCTATTTCAGTCCTTGTTTTGGTTCTTGATATATCACTTATGTGTTAATATTGTCTTACCAGATATAGTATTTGAATTGGGGAATTTGCTATCAGAAAATGTTAGAGGTTATTCACATTAGTTTGATTTTTTTTTTTTGGTCCGTTTTGTTTGAATTGTGATTATTTTAATGTGTTCCAAAGGGCCTAACTACCTTCTGAGTGATGAATCACAAGACACTGGTTGAGTTATTTTGGTTGAATTAGAGACTTTGGTATTGAGTAATGTAGACTAAGTGGATTATTGGCTTGGTTCTATGTAGCTTGTGTTGTAATGTATTTTGACTTTGTTTTTGAGGTCATTTTCTTTAGTCTGTCCAGATGTGTTAGTATATAAAGAGCTGTCTAGAGGAGCACATGAAGAAGCTTGATTGTTTATTGACATGAGCATGACATTAGACTTATGACTATAGAGCTAGATAGAATCATGAGAGGTATGTAGAATACAATTGGTTGTCATTTTGATAGTTATTAGAGTTAGGGCCCTGCCACACAAGATAATAATACGAAAAAGAACAAAGAACAATTAATACAGGTTAAAAAACATATGAAGGACTTGAGGGAGTGGCATTAAATATCCTGAGTGCCAGAGATGTAAAATCCAACTTTCATACAGAATAGAATATATTCGCAAAGTAAAACTGAAGCAAATGTACTACTAAAGACTATGCCATTGATGGGAATAATCACTGAACAGTTGATTTTTATTTTATCGTCTTTAAAGATTAAGATAAACTTCGGATTTCATGTGGGCTAAAAAGTCTTAGCATATAGGGAGTTAGTACTGAAGAATATATTTGTGAGCTGGAAATTGAAAATTACCAAAGGAAGTTTAATTTGCATCCACATGTAGGTTATATTGAAAACTGGAAAATCGAGAAAGCTGTTTCATAAGTTTTGATATAAAGATTTTAAGACCTTGAACTTGGGAGGTGATAGTAGTAATCTTAAAAATAAAGAGCAAATTAGCAGAACTTGCAGGCTGACTAGTAATGGGCAGAAAATTGAGAGGGTTGAATAAAAACGAATCCAGAATTTTAAACTGGAATGTAGGACTAGTGCTTTTACAAGGGAGAGGGGGAGGGGAAGGGGAAGAGGGAGATAATTTGTAATGATAAGAGGCCATCTAGGATTTACTGGATAGTTGGATTTAATGTCTAAACATAGGACTTGAAATGCAGACTCATGCAGGGCTAGACATTTATTTATTATACGGTGTTGCAATAAGATCTAATATTATGACTTTTATTTTTTCTCCTAATTTTAGTTATGATAGTGGTTCTCATCTGAGGGTGATTGTTGGAATCTCCTGGGGAGCTTTTTCAAAGTCTCTCTGTTCAGACATAGCCTATACCTCTCGAATCTTAATTTCAGTGTAAGTGGTCTTTGGCTGTGTATGTTGTGCAAAACCACTCTGATTTTGGAAGGCACCTCTTATTAAAGGCCAATGCTTGACAGTACTTCTAGGTCTAGATTATTTATAGTTTACAAATGAGGAACTTAATTTCAGGGATTCTATTTGACATTGTTCAGCGAATATTTAGTGCCTGCTGGGCATCAGATATCATTCTAGGAGGTGGGAATATAGCAGTGAACAAAATGGACAAATATTCCTGCCTTTGTGAGGCTTTCAGTCTAGTGGGATGAAATAGTAAACAAGTTAAGAAATAATATATATGTCATAATTTAGTCCACAGGGGAAAAAAGGAGTAATATATATTGTATGTTAGATGATGATCATTGCTAGGGAGAATAACAGAGAAGGAGGATAAATGTGTGTGTGTACTTGTATGTGTTGCAGTTTTAGAGTCTCTGGGGAAGGACTCACTAAAAAGATGATATTTGAGCATAGATTTAAGATAGGTGAGTATGAAAGCCATGAAGCGATTTAGAGGAAGACTTATAGGCTTTAAGAAATAAACAATGCATAGGTACCAAAAAGCCAAAAATATATTTTATTGTTAGCACTGTATTTTCTAGGAAGTGAAATGAAGTAGAAGGCATTGGAAAACATGGCACGGTACAGATTTTCCCCACACTATTTCTTGGAAGGAATATGTATTTCCAGTGTCTCCATATTTTCCTTCTTGCTTCATAATACCTTTTATATAAATAGCATATAGAAAAAGGGAGAGAAAAGGGTGCGCTAGCTCATGCCTGTAATCCTAGTGCTTTGGGAGCCTGAGGTAGGAGCACTGCTTGAGGCCAGGTGATTGAAACCAGCCTGGGCAACATAGTGAGACCCTGTCTCTACAAAAAAATTTTTTTTTTTTTTTTGAGACAGAGTCTTGCTCTGTCGCCCGGGCTGGAGTGCAGTGGCCGGATCTCAGCTCACTGCAAGCTCCACCTCCCGGGTTTACACCATTCTCCTGCCCCAGCCTCCTGAGTAGCTGGGACTACAGGTGCCCGCCACCTCACCCAGCTAGTTTTTTGTATTTTTTAGTAGAGACGGGGTTTCACTGTGTTAGCCAGGATGGTCTCGATCTCCTGACCTCGTGATCCGCCCGTCTCGGCCTCCCAAAGTGCTGGGATTACAGGCTTGAGCCACCGCGCCCGGCCCCAAAAAAACATTTTTTTGCGTGGTGGTGCCCCCCTATAGTTCCAGTTACTCTAGAGGCTGAGATGGGAGGATTGATTGAGCCCAGGAGGTGAAGGCTGCAGTGAGCTATGATTGTGCCACTGCAGTCCAGCCTGGGTGACAGAGCAAGACCTTAACGCTGGCTTGACTAGAACAGATGATTTTTTACTGAGCAATCTTAAGACAAGGTTAGAGTGTTGAGGTGTAGCCAGAAAGCATTGAAAATCAAAGATAATTTGCTTATATATCAGAAGCAATAGCAAGTGAAGACCTGAAAAAGTTGAGGGAGTAAACAGTGCAGGTTCAGGGGAATGAGCATTCCAGGCAGAGGGAACAGCAGCTGCCAAAATGGGTATACACCTTGTGTTCTAGAAACATCAAGGGACCTGGTGGTGTAGGAGTGGAGTGAACAGGGGTGTATAAAATTGATAATGAAGTTAAGAGGTGATGAGGCAGATCATGTAGGGCAGGGTTTCTCAAATTTCTTACATTTTGGACTGGGTAATTTTTTGTTGTAGGGGGATGTCCTGTGCATCGTAGAACTTTTAACAGCCTCCTTGGCCTCCTTGGCCTCTATATGCTAGATGTCAGTAGCATCTGCCCCCTAGTTGTGACATCCAAAAATGTTTCAGACATTGCCAATGTCCCCAGGGGGTGCAAAATCTCTGGTAGTTAAAACCACTGGTATAGGTTCTTATGTGTTATTTTAAGGTTTGGCTTTTACTTGGAATAAGAGGAAGCCATTGGAGGTTACTGAGCATTGAACATGATTGAACTTACATTTTATCAGAATTATTCTGGCTATTGTCTTCAGAATAAACAGCAAAGGAGCAAAAGTGGAGCAGGAAAACCAGTTAGGAGACTTGTGCAATAACCTAGGTGGTAGATGCTGGTATCTTGTAGTAGGCTGCTGGTAGTGTAGAGTTGCTAAAAAGTAGTCCCACTCAAGACTTAATGTCATATAGCTAGTTATTTTGGTCATAGGTCAGTTTTTAATTTTTTTTTTTTTTTAAAAGACGGAGTTTCTCTCTTGTGGCCCAGGCTAGAGTGCAGTGGCGCCATCTCAGCTCACTGCAACCTCCGCCTCATGGATTCAAGCGATTCTCCTGACTCAGCCTCCTGAGTAGCTGGGATTACAGGCTCCCACCACCACGCCCGGCTAATTTTTTTTGTATTTTTTAGTAGAGACGGAGTTTTACCATGTTGGTCAGACTGGTCTTGAACTCCTGATCTCAGCTGATCCACCTACCTTGGCCTCCCAAAGGGTTGGGATTACAGGTGTGAGCCACCTTGCCCAGCCCATAGGTCAGTTTTTCCCCCAGTATTTTGCAGCTGCTTCTTTGTGTTTTAATTAAAAATGAGTTTTAGCATTTTTGAGCATGTATTTGATTTAAATTATTAGGTCAGTTTTATTTTTGTTGGTAAATTACTTTCATTTAAGAGATACTACTATGTTCTCACAGTTTTATTTTTTAAAGGGATTTTAAAATTCATTTTGGTGACTGGAAGAAAAATTTATATAAAAGCAGTCATCTTACAGAATCTATAGCCCTATAACTACACTGTATACAATATAAAGACTTTTCCTCCTGTTTAAATGAGTAGTAACAGTTCTATGAGCAATCAACCAGAATCATCGCTATATAAAAGTAGCTTTATTAATTTTTGTACATTTCAGAGTATCTAACACATGCATGGTTAGTGTGCAATAAATGTTAATAATTTTGATTATAGTGAAATAAAAATAGAATAAAAACTGAAGGTTTTAGTATTCAAAGGCAGCCAATGCTAACTCAAAATAGAAACTAGCAGAAATAAAACATAAGATTTTTTCCTCTGTGTACCTGATTAAACATAATCTTATTTTTAAATATGAGGCCTTAGAGGAAAACTTTCCATTTTTAAATCTTTATTTTAATCTTAGAATTATCCTCTAATATATGAGCATAAATTTACTATATACTTACCAACTTTATCACAAAAAATTAACTATTTTATTAATCTGGGACTGTGTTGTCCAGTTTGGTAGCTGCTAGCTACATGTTACTATTTAGCACTTAAAACATGTATAGTCTGAATTGAGGTGCTCTGTAAGTGTAAATTACACACCAGATTTGAAGTCTTCAAATGAAAAAGCAGTAAAATATCTCCATATGTTTTGTGTATTGATAAACTTTTTGTACTGTTATATTAAAACCCATTAGTATGTCTTGTACTTTGAATGGATCTTTTTTACCATATATTATTTTGTAATATCGACATTATTTGGAAAATAGTGGTTTTTATATAAAATGCAGATTTTCCAAATATTGATAGGTTTTATGGCACAATATTTAAAAAATCATATTCAGTAATACCACCACCAGCCTTATCAGAAAGTCTATAAGTATTGGGAAGCTGTCAAGCTGAAGGTGGTAGATACAACTTTTAAAAAATTCTCATGTTCACTTGAAAGCATGAATTTTATCATTGACAACAAATAATGTCAGCGTTTCTGTTAAAACAATGGTTTCACTTAGTTCATTTTTTTTTTTTTTCTTCGAGACGAGTCTCGCTCTGTTGCCCAGTCTGGTGTGCAGTGGCACGATCTCAGCTCACTGCAAGCTCCGCCTCCCGGGTTCACGCCATTCTCCTGTCTCAGCCTCCAGAGTAACTGGGACTACTGGCGCCCGCCGCCATGCCTGGCTAATTTTTTGTATTTTTAGTAGAGAGGAGGTTTCACCGTGTTCGCCAGGATGGTCTCGATCTCCTGACCTCGTGATCCACCCGCTTCGGCCTCCCAAAGTGCTGGGATTACAGGCGTGAGCTACCACGCCAGGTCACACTTAGTTCATTTTTAAGAAAATATCTGCCAAATGCCCACATCTGAAAACCATCGTATTTGTCTGTCAGTCTTTCTAGTAAAAAGAGTGTTCCTTGTAAAAAGTGGCTGATTTAATTCACAAACCAAACACTTGCACAATAGCTTTTCCTGGGAGAGCTATGGTACTTTGGTAGGCAGCCAAATTGCTTGATATGTTTTCCCTTTCATTACAGAGAATATTAAAAAAGGTGTACTTAAAGGTCATGTTTTAATAAAATTGATAATTCTTACTGCTTCGTCAAGGACATTCTGAGGAGAAATTGGCATTTGTATTTTATTATTTTTACTGTGAGCGTGTAATGTTAAAGAATGTAATGACGCCGGGCGCGGTGGCTCAAGCCTGTAATCCCAGCACTTTGGGAGGCCGAGACGGGCGGATCACGAGGTCAGGAGATCGAGACCATCCTGGCTAACACAGTGAAACCCCGTCTCTACTAAAAAATACAAAAAACTAGCCGGGCGAGGTGGCGGGCGCCTGTAGTCACAGCTACTCGGGAGGCTGAGGCAGGAGAATGGCGTAAACCCGGGAGGTGGAGCTTTCAGTGAGCTGAGATCTGGCCACTACACTCCAGCCTGGGCGACAGAGAGAGACTCCGTCTCAAAAAAAAAAAAAAAAAAAAAAGAATGTAATGACTACCAGTACAATCTGTTGCCACTGCCTTGATCTGTGCTAGGTCACCAGCATTTTTATTCACCAGTGCTTTTGCACCTTCTGTGCAAGTGTCAACTCTGTGAAAAAGGCAAATAATGTTCAGGTGTTATTTATGAAAATATTTTGACCTTGTGGATCCCCAGAAAGATTCTCAGCAACTCCCAGTGGTCAGCAGCTGCCTTGACAACTGCTGTTCTAAGATAAAAATTGGACTTTACCACAGGACTGGTAAATTTAAGATGAGGCCACAAATGGCAGAGTAAGGCAGAGTATCACAAGCACCACGTGAGAGTTATAGGCTTTTGTGCCTATAACATTCAGAAGAAAGATGACACTCAGCTGAGAGAGTATCAGTAAAAGTTTTCTTGAGTGTATTAGTATTTGAAATGGACTTTAAAAGATTAGAAAGTTTCAGTAGGCCGCTATTTAGGGTAGTAGAGGAAAATATTTCATGCAGAAGTGATAGCATGAGACTAGACAAGAGGATATGTATGGAATTTTGGGAAAATCATTTCATCTCTTTGGACTTCAGTTCCCCATGTCTATAAAATGAGAGGATTGATTTTGAACATTTAGGTTGCTACCAGGTTTAAAGTTGGATGACTTTGAGTACTAGTTTTATAAAGTTGTTATTGTTGTCATTATTATTGTTGTTAGGACTAGAGATATTTAAATGATTATATAAAATTTAATGTTTTAAAAATGTAAATTAAGGTATTTACTCTGTGTGTACCATTGTATTTATTTGTGTATCACATTTGGGGAGGATAGTAATGAGGGATTTTTAAAGTACTTTATAGAAAACAAATTCTAAATGTTTGTTTTACTTTCTGATTTTTATAGTCATCCTAAATTGATTTTGTTACCTCTTTTGTTGTATTTATTTTTCATATCAGAGGTTGGTATATAGGCAGAATTGCAGTGTAATAAAATAGACAATATGCTTATTGTGTCTTAGTTTTTTTTTTTTTTTTTTTTTAGTGTTCACATTGCTAGAAATTTGCATTCGTTTGTTGAGTCATCATTTATAGGCACAGTGCCATAGATTGGTCTCACTCTGTGATTTTACTTTTTAAAAATGTCTATTTCAATTACTGTGAACAAGGCTAATTGGAAACGTGGCTGCTTCTGAGTTTTCAGACATTTAGAGAGGAGTTAGATGCATAAAACAAGTATAGTCTACTGCTGTCATATAGAACAAAAATTTCCCCTTTGACATTATTAAATGCTGACTTCTCTTAAGAATAGGAATTATGTATCATTAATTATATATGCTATAGTACTTAATACAAGGCCTTATAGTAGTCCCCTAGTCAAATAAATATTGGTTAAATTGAAAATAATTCTGTGGCCAGGTGCAGTGACTCATGCCTGTAATCCCAGCACTTTGGGAGGCCAAGGCGGGTGGATTGTTTGAGCCCAGGAGCTCAAAACCAGCCTGGGCAACACGGTGAAAGCCCATCTCTATCAAAAATACAAAAATTAGCCAGTCTCATAACCAGTCTCAAAAGAAAATCAAAAAAGAAAATAATTCTAATGTAGAACTTTTAGTTGAAAATATGTTTTTCTTTGAAATATCAGGCTTTTTTTTTTAAGCAAATTTGATTTAGTAGCTTCTCATCTTTGTGTTTTTCCCTTCAGCATTTAGTGTGAATTTAGTTTAAATGTTAATAGTAAATTATTATCTCAGGAGATAGATAGGAATATCTTGTGTTTTGTGCAAAGATCCCTGAAGAAAATGGTGTATTTTACTGACAATTTCTTATTGACTCTCTTTTAGGAATGGATCGTGATTATGGCCCTGGATCTTACGGAGGTCTGACATTCAAGGATATTTATCTAAAAATTCTTCTTTTGAGTGCCAGTAAAGGTGAGCATCATATAACTTTTTTCTTTTTAAACTCTTATAGGGATGGATCGTGACTATGGCCATGGATCCTATGGGGGTCAGAGATCCATGGAGTCCTACCTAAACCAGTCATATGGCATGGACAATCACAGTGGTGGTGGTGGGGGTAGCAGGTAAATTGCTTAATCATTTGGCCAAATAATTAGACAACTATAAGATTCTGGATATATTAAGTATTCTTTAGGCATGTTATGATACTTGAACTTCACTGTTTGCTATTGAATCATCACCTTAAATGTTTAAAGGTGTTAACTAATGGGATAAAATTTAAATCAGGATTACTGGCAGACATTATTTTAGGAAAACACCAGATAACTATATCATGTCAATACAATAGAGTAAGATACTCTGTTTTTAGCAGTGAACTTTTTAAAAATTCTTTTACTTCTAACTTCTTGTCAATCAAAATATCCTGAAAAATGATATAAAAATGTTATTGAAAATATTATTTATGAAGCTTTTTCTTAATAATTAAAAAAAATCTTTTCTAATGTGGGGTGCTATGTAAATTAGCAAAGCAGTCTAACTAGAATGGATTTTACTGAAACAGTCTAACATTTGCTTTCTAAGAAACATTCAAGACATATTCCTTTAATTCTAATTTTAAAGGAAGAGCATATTGCAATAATATAAATATTTTTAAAATTATGTTCAGGTTATTTATTGGCAGGTACTACTTACACCAAAGCATTTGTGCTCTAGGCTAGGAGCATTGTATTAAAGCCATGAATACTATACCTTTTACTAGTCTAGATTGTATTTATACTGTTACTACTGTATAAAGCTTAAACCTACTTAAACAACTACAAGCTTTAAGGTTGACCATATTTCAGGAGAAGGGGTGTCTGCTTTTTGAGGCACAAAGGTTCCTGCTGAATATAAGTAAAACTAGTTAGTAGACATGTGAAACAGTCATCCTTCTTCATAAATTGAAGGATCCGGATTCCTTAATGATGGACTGAATGATGCTTACTTTCCTTCTTTCTGCTTCCAGTGTGCCACTATGATTTATAGTAAAGAAAAATTAAGAAACTGAACAGTTGCAACTATTTTGCTTATGTGATAGATGTTTTGAAAAATGTAGTTGGAAATAGGAATAATTTTTATATGGTTACTAGGATTCAGAAGTAAATACTACCTTCTATTTAGTGATCTGTAAATAATTGAAGTAATGTAACACTTAATGTTTTAATATGTCAGTTATTGCCCTTTTATATTGTGAATGTAATGTGCATAAGCTATTTCTGTAGATGTTATTGTTTTATCTCATGTGTAATTGTGGGTCTTTATAAAATTGTGTTGTAAGATATCAAGCAACTTTTGTAATCCATGCTTTGGGTTTGTGAGAAGGAAGATGATTTATTTCTTCTGTTAACTCTCTTAAAACCTCGAGGAGACTGTGTGCTCCCTTTTTAAGGATAGTTTTATGTGATAATTTCCTGAAGGATATAATTTTTCAAATAATTGAATATATTATAAGATGTATTCTTTTTCATCTGCCTTGAAAATTCATATGCAGAGGGTATATGTTGGTGATCTTTTACTTTTATGTTTTATCTGTTTATCCTTCTAGATTTGTTAGATTTTCTAGTCTACAAGTAAAAAGTGATTGAGGATTGATTAATTGACCTTGGCTGAAGTTTGGCAGATTGTCAAATTTTTATAACCAGAGATAATTCCCCAAATTTTGACTCCTACAGACACAATGAAGCAGTTTGTGATATAGATTATTGGGAGTGCAAAAGGATCTCTCTGTGTCACAAATAACCTACATCTAAGTAGACTTCAGTTTGTGTCCTTATTGAAAGCCAAAATGTTGTAAATGTTTTGTAATTTTTAATAATAGAGATAGATTCAAAAACGTTTGAATAGTTTGTGAACTTTAGCAAATGACCTTTTCCAAGACTAGGGCTGGGCTTAAATAATGACAGACAAATCCTTTCTTTTTCATAAAATAGAAAAGCTGCTAAGAAGCAGATTTTTAAGCTAAGTTTTACTAAACTCAATTCATGTTTAGAATCTGACTCAGATAGCTTTCTATCTGGTCTCACGTTGAACTGCCCAGCCCTAATCAAGTGTGAACAAAAGTAGAACTGTGCAAACCAGTATGGTATAAATGAATTTTAGTTGATAAATGTCATCTGATAATTTGTCTTTTGAATTGTCTAACATTAGTAAGCTTACTTTTGTTTTTTCCCTCACTGTGCAACTTTTCCAGGTTTGGACCTTATGAGTCTTACGACTCCAGGTCTTCTCTGGGTGGGCGAGATCTGTACAGATCTGGCTATGGTTTTAATGAACCCGAACAAAGCCGCTTCGGAGGTAGTTATGGTGGTCGATTTGAGAGCTCCTACCGGAATAGCCTTGACTCTTTCGGAGGTAGAAACCAGGGCGGGTCTAGCTGGGAAGCACCTTACTCCCGTTCAAAATTGAGGCCTGGGTTTATGGAGGACAGAGGAAGAGAGAATTACTCTTCCTACAGCAGTTTTTCTTCACCCCATATGAAGCCTGCACCTGTAGGCTCTCGGGGGAGAGGAACGCCTGCTTATCCTGAAAGTACGTTTGGAAGCAGAAACTATGATGCTTTTGGAGGACCATCAACAGGCAGAGGCCGAGGCCGAGGAGTAAGTACAACAGAATCTTTTCAGATTCTTTTCACTAGTCACTCTTTTAAACCCTTTCAAGACCATCGCTTTCAACTAGAATAAACACTGTTCATCCCAGTGTATTTTGAAGCAAAAGCTGAGTCATAAACATAATTTTTAGGTTGACTGTAAAAGTTTTTCCAGCACCTCAGAAAATAAGTGGCAGTTTGAGATGATCATAAAGTTGTGCCAAATCTCCCTTTATTAAAAAGGTGAGGCTGTTAGGTTTGGTCTAAAAGGGGTTAAAAGGAGTTGCATTTTTCCTTGTAAACACTAGCAGTTTTGCTGGTGGAATAGTTTGTGGATTATTGTGAAAGGTCACTGAACCCTTTTTGAGTTTTTGAGTAGGTTAAAGGTGCAATGTATGATAAAATGTTTATACTTTGTTGCTAAACTCTAGCAAGTAGAATTTCTTCAAAGCTCCATGTTTCACATTAAACACAAGAGACTAAAAGTTGATGGTAGATCAGGATAGCTTAGCCATGTTTATGTGGTGAAGAAGTTGATGTGTATAATAGATTGTACAATGATTTGTGGTCAGTGTAATTTTGCTAACTCACTCTTACAATATGTCCAATTGCTGGTTGTTTATTTTTCCCTCGTGTTACTAGTTTTACTCTTGAGAAATAATTTTCACCTGTACAGATACGTTTATGATTTCTTCTTAGGAAGTAATATTTTGTAAATTATTGCTTAAATGAGTAAATATACTAGTCTACAATTGTTTAACGTTAGGGTGCATAGTGTAAACATTATGCTTTATGTTCTTAGGTCACTTGATTGACATGAAATTTTACCTAGTAAGTGTGTGTAGATTGTGGGCTTGTTATATAGTCTGATCATTTAAAGAGTGTTGTGTTTTTGTTATAATGTAAGAATCCTTTTAAGTCAGCTGCTCTTAATATTTTCTTTGCAGAGGAAAGTATTTCTAGTAAAAAATGTAGTAGGATACATACATGTTTTTGACTGGTTATTAACCTTTGGTGTGTCAGTGTAGCTTGTTACACTTGTGTAGAAATTTTGCATTTTTAACAGTTACTCTTTACTTATGTAAAAATGCATTGCACCTTTAATGTGTAATTAAGGAAGATTTTCCTGATATGACTTTTTAAATTACCTGGAAACACAACTAGGTTAGCTAGGCATTCCTAAGCATAGTATACAAATGTAAGCAACTGATACATTACAGTCCCACTATACTTCATGATCATAGGTTAATTGAAAATAGTTGGGATGACAGACTTTGGGTTTTGAATTGAAAATCCATTCTAGTTTGGAAATTTGGAAAACACTTAATATTTTCCATGCTGTATATTATTTTAGGCAAAGTGTGTTTTCTTAATGAGGCTTCAAAAGTAAATTTCGTTTTCATAATAGTAAAGCAAGTATTCTTGTACTTTGTATTTACCATTCTAGTCTGAATGGACTTTTCTTTCTTTCCTTCTGTTAGTGAAGTAGATGAGCCAATAGGACCTACATTTTAAATCTTCACTTGTACAATTTCCCTTGGGTCCTTCTCTTCAGATTACTCCTCCATCTTTATCTTCTAAAAGTAGGATTAGCAGAATAAATTTCTGTGGACATGTGGCCTCTTGGTGTAGATTTGGATAATGACAAGAGAAGAGGAAGGGACACAAAGAGTCGTTTGGTTGCATGACTCTTCATCTGTAAACTTTTGTTTCTTGGGCTTCGGGGTCAGAAAATGTTTCTCTAGGTAAGAATGTGAATGGAACGTCAGATGCAATTCTTTATCTGAAGTGTGTCTTGGAAGTTGATGCATGGTTATGCTTTAACTCTCCTATTTCATACTAATGTTCCATCTCGCCTTCTCATTCCCTTTTTCAACAGGGAGAATACTAAATGATTTCTGGATCTTTTTTACTTCAAACTACAAATATGGTCTTCTTTGTGTATCTTAGTTTTAAGCCAGGTTTTAGTAAAATAAAGATTTCTTTTAGGGTCTTTTCATGGGAAAACATCCATTAGGAACTCTGAAGAGGAGTTGTCAGAGAGTTGTACAAGTGGTAACATTTGGACAGGCACATATGTTGTCTATAATCTCAAGTAATTTTGAAATGTAAAAGTAAAAACATAGGTAGCAAATATTCATTATTTGTTCTACTGGAAATAAAAATACTAATTCAATGGATTTGAGTTTATGTAATAATTTACAGAGTTTTTCAATGTGTTTTTTCAGAATGGACATGTAAAATTTAGTTACATTCCAGGGAATTTTCAGGTGAAAATTAGTAGATAGTTAACGTGAAAATTTTATATGAATTCATAGTTTTTCTTGGACAATATGCTAATACTTATTGATTTCACAAATTTACAGCATATGGGTGATTTTGGAAGCATTCATAGACCTGGAATTGTTGTTGACTATCAAAACAAATCCACCAATGTGACAGTTGCTGCTGCAAGAGGAATAAAGAGAAAAATGATGCAGCCGTTTAATAAGCCCAGTGGAACCTTTATCAAGAAACCCAAACTAGCAAAACCTATGGAGAAGATAAGCCTCAACAAATCACCCAGTAAGTAAGAAAACATAATTGCTATGATTCAGGATACTTTTTATTTTTTTTAATTCCATACTTTTAGGTAATTTTTTCATGTTTATATACCAAAACTACTTAACAATTGCGATTGTAGAAATTAGATCTGTAAATTCCCTATTGCAGTTAATAATTGGTCATGAATACCCAAAGATACTTTAAATGTACATACCCTGGTCCATTCCTTTTTCCTGAATCCTGTGTGGTTGTGTATCAAACCCTCTACAGCTGAGGAAACAGGCATAGGATAGATAAATAATTTGCTGCCTAGGTCAAACAACCAGTAAATGGTAATGCCAGGATATATTCCAGAGCAAGTAATGCTCTAGAAATCCTGTTCTTAAACCTCCCTATGATTGTAACAGAAATTTGCTTTGTATTCATTTTTCCCTTTTATTTTAAAATAACTTTTTTCCCTGATTATAACATTATAGACATTTTATTATGTAATATTTGAAAAAACTGAAATTGCAATGTTAGATTCTTTCCTCAACATATCTTTTCTATAATATAAAATTTGAGAAAAGTTTAAAAATTGTACTGAAATTACTTTCTCATCATGCCTTATTGTTTAATAAGAAACAATATTCTGGAATTTCTGGAATTCCTGAAATTCTGGAAACCTGATACTAAGCAGAGTATGTGTTGTGGGGATACCTTTAACAATGTGTCAGTTGATAGACTGTTATGTATCAAATCTGAAATTTTATTAGATGTTACTATAATAGAAAATTCAGTTGATTCTCTTGGGACCTATTTCAAAGATGTATTTTCCGTGTATAGTTAAATATTGCAAAAGTTTGATAAAGAAACTGATTTGCCATTAAAGCAGATAATATGTATCCCTCCCCCATACCCTCTTTTTTATATAACAAAACTTGAGAATAGTGTTGTATAGCTAAGAATGAAACTCAGATTCTTTAATTAAATTATGGCTTCTCTGTCAGGTGTAAAATGGGCATTTAAAAAGATGATTGCTGAATTTTCCTCAATACAAGGTCTTGCTATGCTGTAGTATAGACTATGTGACTTTATAGAAAATTAGTAGGGAAGGAACCCTATTCTGTCACTTGGCTAGAAGTACAACATGTCATAGTTTTAGCATATGAAAGGAAGATTAAATTACTTATTTGAGGTAATATATAAATAAGTAGATTTTTCAAAGGCCATCTAAAAGGATAAGCAGTGTATAAAAGGAAAAATTTAAGGGCAAATCGTTAAGTTTTTTTTTTTTTTTAAGTATAAAGTTAAATGTATTACAAGAAGGAACCTGCTCACAATGAGATACCACTCCATACCCACTAGGATAGTCATAATAATAAAAGGAAAATAACAAGTGTTGACAAGGATATGGGGAAATTGGAACCTTCACACATTACTGATGGGAATGTAAAGCAGTGAAGCCACTGTGGGAAGCAGATTGGTGCTTCCTGAAACAATTAAACATAGACTGTCCATATGATTCAGCAATTCTACTTCTAGGTGTTCTTCTACTCCAAAGAATTTAAAATAGTATTCAAACAAAAATTTATTTATTTATTTATTTTTATTTTTGAGACAGGATCTCACTCTGTTGCCCGGGCTGGAGTGCAGTGGCGCAGTCTTGGCTCGCTGCAACCTCTGCCCCTGGGTTCAAGCAATTCTCATTCCTCAGCCTCCTGAGTAACTAGGACTACAGATGTGCACCACCACGCCCAGTTAATTGTTACATCTTGAGTAGAGATGGTTTTGCCATGTTGTCCAGGCTGGTCTCGAACTCCTGGCTTCAAGTGATCCATCCGCCTCAGCCTCCCAAAGTGCTAAGATTACAGGCATGAGCCACTGTGCCTGGCCCAAACAAAAATTTATATATGAATGTTTATAGTAGCATTATTCATAGTAGTCAAAAGGTAGAAACTATTGAAATACACATCAACAGATGAATGGTTTTAAAAATGTGGAATATTCATATAATGGAATATTATTAAACCATAAAAAAGAAGGAAGTACTTACTAATACATGGCACAACGTGGGTGAGCTGTGAAAACATGCTAAATAAAAGTCAGACCAAAAAGGCAACAGAGAGGATGATTCTAGGTATATGAAATACCTAGAGTAGGCAAATCCGTAGATCAGAAAGCAGATTAGTAGTTACCAGGGCCTTAGGGTAGGGTTGAAATGGGGAGTGACTGCTTTATGGGTTGATGAAAAGTTCTGTAACTAGATAGTGGAGATGGTTGCATAACTTTGTGAATGTACTTAATGCCATTGAATTGCACATTTTAAAATGGTTAAACTAGTAAATCTTATGTTTTGTGTATTTTATCACAATAGAGAATTTTTTTTTGAGACGGAGTCTCGCTCTGTCCCCCAGGTTGGAGTGCAGTGGCCAGATCCCAGCTCACTGCAAGCTCCGCCTCCCAGGTTTACGCCATTCTCCTGCCTCAGCCTCCCGAGTAGCTGGGACTACAGGCGCCCGCCACCTCACTGTGCTAGTTTTTTGTATTTTTTAGTAGAGATGGGGTTTCACCGTGTTAGCCAGGATGGTCTCGATCTCCTGACCTCGTGATCCACCCGTCTCGGCCTCCCAAAGTGCTGAGATTACAGGCTTGAGCTACTGCGCCCGGCCTACAATAGACAATTTTTTAAAAAAAGAGAACAAATGTGCTTTTATTTTGGAGATTATAAATTTTAAGAAACTTTCCGAGAGCTCCTACAATATGAATATGAGTTCTTGCATCCAGGTCTCTGCAGTGTTTACTGGACTTCCATTTTCATGCTGGGGCAGGTTGCTTTAGTGTTTCCCAAAGTATATGGTGCCCAAGATAATTTTAGGTGATAAGGATATTATTGCTTAGAATAAGGATAGGACAAATGAGCAGATTTAAAGAAAAATATGTAGCAAATAATCACATAGATGACAAGCAGATATGACGGAATTTGTGATGATGGTATTCAAATGAATGAAGTTAATTTAGTGAAGTTTAAGAAATACTGGATAATCTCAAACTCCGATTTTTTCAGTGAGTTCCATTTTAGATTACAATCACTAAGTAAACCTCATAAGTATATACTTTATGAACTGATGATTGGAAAGAGAGAATGGAAAAATGAATTTTAGCTTTTACTTTTTTGTGTGATATCCTAGCAAAAACTGATCCTAAAAATGAAGAGGAAGAAAAGCGACGAATTGAGGCTCGGAGAGAGAAACAAAGGCGCAGAAGAGAAAAAAACAGTGAGAAATACGGAGATGGATACAGGTTTGTGCTTAGAGTCAGAAAATTAGGCTCATTAAAAAATGGTTACCTAGAAAAGGCAAACACATCAATTGTAATGTGAAAAAGTTCTTAAGATTCAAATGAAAAGGCTTGTTCAAAGATATAGAGGAATGCTTTTGATTTTTGATATTTATATGTAATCACTACTTAGAAAACATAAGAAAAAAGGCATTCTATTTATAATGGCAATCCAGAAATATAAAATATCCAGAAATAACAGCATTCTTAAAAAGACATACTTGTCATTGAGGTTTGACTATATGGAGACAGTGATTTTCATGGGCAGGAACTAAATATTACAAATATGTAAGTTCTTTCCAATCCAGATCCCAAAGGAAGTTCTGAAGAAGAGTAAATGGGTAGGTACTGACTTTTTTTTTTCTTTTTTTTGAGACGGAGTCTTGCTCTGTCGCCCAGGCTGGAGTGCAGTGGCTGGATCTCAGGAGAATGGTTTATGCCATTCTCCTGCCTCAACCTCCTGAGTAGCTGGGACTACAGGCGCCCACCACCACGCCTGGCTAGTGTTTTGTATTTTTTAGTAGAGATGGGGTTTCACCGTGTTAGTCAGGATGGTCTCGATCTCCTGACCTCGTGATCCACCCGTCTCGGCCTCCCAAAGTGCTGGAATTACAGGCTTGAGCCACCGTGCCCAGCCGGTACTGACTTTTATAGATAATCATTCATTAAAAAGCTGTAATAGTTAAAAATACATGGTAATACACAAAACTAATTACTATATCAGAATTATTAGCCTGTGAGCAGATTGTCAGGAAGAATGTAATATTTAATAAAGAGGATATTAGAAATAAGAGGGGAATTGATTGAACAATGAAATAATAACAAAAATAAGTTTAGAGCTTCCTCATATGACACCTGGAATGAATGTAGTTAAAAAGAAAATGAAATTACAGAAAAACAAAATGTTCTGCAAGGAGATTTTTTTCCCAGGCTTAAAAGTTATAGAATAAATTACAAAGGAAATGATGAGCAGATTTGGCTAAATAAAAACTTAAAATTTGAAAGGAAAGCAAACAGACTCGGAAAATATAAACATGAGAAATGATTAATGTCCAAATTAGATTAAAACATTACCCAAATTATTTTAAAAAGTAAGAAAACTAAAATGTTTAATATTTAATATGATAAGGAAACAGCAGCTAGTAATAATTTTAAGGAAATTGTTTTAACAGTAATTTAAACTAAAAATTTAAATAACAGTATGCCATTTTATTACTAAGGAGAAATTTGATTTGCTGATTAAGGAATGATCAAAGGACACTTACAGTTTCTTGGTGACATTATAATATTATAACTGCTAGAAAGCAATTTAGCAGTTTTTAAAAAAATGTCTTAATTTTTCTTAAAGCCTTGAGCCCTGAAGTTTGAGGCCAGCCTAGGCAACATGGCAAGACCTCATCTCTAAACAAAACAAAACAATCCATAAAAAGAAGAGTAGTTCTAGTTTTAAGAACTACTGCTATTTTTAGTCCTTGTGAGTTCTCTGTCCCACTCATTATCTCTTGTGATTCCTTCTTTTGGTAGAAGCAACAGTCATAGTTATATTTTGGTATAGAAATGAATTTAAATTATCAGCCTCTTGGAGTGTAAAAATCATTTTACATTATAAGATGCAATTTTTTAAATTTAATTGCCCTATGAATATTTTTCTCATTAAAAATTTCGGCTCTGAATTACGTTCATGTTAACATAATCTGGATTATGTTAATGTTAATATAATATATAAAATTGTGATTTGGAGAAAATGAAAGAACTGAACTTTCATTTAGCTATGTTCTCTGTAACTCTAAATATAAATCTGATGATATAACCAAAAGAATGTCAACTCATAAATTATCATTGTAGGATATAATTTCTTTAAAGTAGTCTAGATTATTTTCACTTATCAGAGCAGTTTTACTTTGAGTTATGAGGATTCGAGATTGAGTAAATCACTATTCTTGTGATAGGTTCCCTTGGATATTTGAATGCTTTCAACATAATAAAGAGCATGGAAAGGTTTATACCTACCCTTAAGGGAACCTAGGGAGAAAGAGATGGATGTGTGAGAGATGTACATAAATAATAGTGTATGACGAAGGATACCAGAAGAGAAGTACAATGTAGTTTCATGAGAAATAACTTCTAAATAAGAGTATAGGAGGCCAAGCGTGCTAGCTCATGCCTGTAATTCCAGCACTTTGGGAGGCCAAGGTGGGTGGATAGCTTGAGCCTAGGAGTTCAAGACCAGCTTGGGCAACATGGTGAAACCTTATTTCTACAAAAAATACAAAAATTAGCCAGGTGTGGTGGCATGAGGCTGTGGTCCCAGCCACTTGGGAGGCTGAGGTGGGAGGATAGCTTGAGCTTGGGAGGTGGAGGTTGCAGTGAGTTGAGTTCGCACCACTGCACTCTATGGCCTGGGCAACAGAGCAAGACTCTGTCTCGAAAAATAAGTAAATAAGGGTGCAGGGAAATCAGGGGAGGTGACCATGATGGACGTGGTATTTGAATTGATCTGGGAATGGTAGGGTTACAGGAGGAGTTGTGAGAGGCAGCCCAGGTAGAGGCCATGGCTTGCCATCAAAGCAAATAAATAGGAATGTGTTATTGTTATTTAGAAAATTGAAAGCAGTGTAGATTGAAGTGACTCTAATGGGATGAAAGGTATAATCTAATTTAAACATTTAATGGAGACATGCTGTGCCAGATATTATTAAAGGTATTGGTGAGTAAGCCAAAAAGGAGAGATTAGGAAATTTCCTGGATGGCAGCAAAAACATTTTTGTCTTTGTTTTTTGAGCTTACAGAGCTAATGAAGCCCTTTGAGCAGTAATGTGCTCTTACCTGCTATAGGAAGTAACAATAATTAATTGAGTAATTGTGTGTTAGGAAATGTTCTAAGGGCTTTGTATGCATTAATTTTTAAAAATCCTCAGACACCTCTGTGAGCGTTCTCATCTCAATGTAAGAAAGCCAAGGCCTAGAGAAGTCAAGTAACTTGCCCAAGATCACAAAATGGAATTAGGATATGAACTCGGCAGTTGGCTCCAGAGCTCATACTCTCAACCAGGAAAATAAATCTAGTAGCGTTGCAAAGAATTAATTGGAAAATGGAGACTGGAGACAGAAACCAGTTACGTGACTGCTAGCATAATTCAAGGAAAAGAAAATAACATAAGATAGAAACAGTTATGCTGGGCACAGTGGCTCACACCTGTAATCCCAGCACTTTGGGAGGCCGAGGCAGGCGGATCACCTGAGGTCAGGAGTTCAAGACCAGCCTGGCCAAGGTGGCAAAAACCCCATCTCTACTAAAACAGCCAGGTATGGTGGTGCATGCCTGTAGTCCCAGGTACTTGGGAGGCTGATGTGGGAGAACCGCTTGAACCCAGGAAGTGGAGGTTGCAGTGAGCTTAGATTGCACCACTGCACTCCAGTCTGGGCAACAGAGCGAGGCTCCATCTCAAACAAACAAACAAAAAAAGAAACAATTAGGTGGGACTGTTCATTATGGAGTGGCTCTTGAGCTTACAGATGCATGCATTTGTCCAGTCCAGGCCTATTAATTATCCTGAAGTGAAGTAGTCTTTAGAAGGCAAGACTTTTATCACCCAAGAATTCCATAGGAGTGAGTTATGATTGTCTGGTGGTGTGCCACTTTGCTTTGTTGATATGATACTACCATTGGTTTAGAAGCTTGAGGATGGAACAACATGTAAAATAAGTTGCAGAACTTTGGAACTCGATACTTCTTGAGGTTTGCTTTGGCTTTTTAATTGGTCCAGGCTTGAAGTGGATAACTTATAGATCCACTGGTTCCATTTTTCCTACTCGGAAGCTCCAAAGTGGGCCAGAAATGCAAAGTGGTGTATGGGTGCGGTCCAAATAAGTACTTAAAGAAATAGTTTTTTTAGATTTAAGCTAAGTTTAATTCAGTCATAAAATGGAAGAAAGGAAATAATTTATGTTGGTAAAATTAGTTTTAATGGTATATTCTTATGAACTCTTTATAAGTGAATAAAGTAATATTTAAAGGAAAACTTTTTTTTCTCTTACAGAATGGCATTTACGTGTTCATTTTGTAAATTTCGAACGTTTGAAGAAAAAGATATTGAACTGCATCTGGAAAGTTCTTCACATCAGGAAACGTTAGATCATATACAGAAACAAACTAAATTTGATAAAGTAGTTATGGAGTTTTTGCATGTAAGTAGCTGTTTTTGAAGTGAGAAGCATTTTATTGATATGAATTTCTTTTTTTTTTTTTTTTTTTTTTTTGAGACGGAGTCTTGGTCTGTCGCCCAGGCTGGGGTGCAGTGGCACAATCGCGGCTTACTGCAACCTCCACCTCCTGGGTTCACGCCATTCTCCTGCCTCAGCCTCCCGAGTAGCTGGGACTATAGGCGCTCGCCACTACGCCTGGCTAATTTTTTGTATTCTTTAGTAGAGACGGGGTTTCACTGTGTTAGCCAGGATGGTCTCGATCTCCTGACCTCGTGATCCGCCCGCCTTGGCCTCCCAAAGTGCTGGGATTACAGGCGTGAGCCACCGCGCCCGGCCTGATATGAATTTCTTAAGATTTCATTTTTCACTTTCCCCATCTCTTGCATTTATGTTTCTAAAATTTTAATTTACTATTTAAAGAAAGAGTTGCTTTAAAATTAACCCAGAATTACTTGTGAATTCCTCTATAATAGAATTTGTATTTGTTATTTCAGAAATGATTACATTTTTCACAGTTGTTTCTGGGGGAGGTGTCCTTTAACAACTTTACTGATGTAGAGTCAGCTATCATCCGTTAACTGGAGTTGTGCTGGTTACATTCATTCATTATTTCAGTTGAGTCCTATAACAACTCATTTTTATCATGAAAGATTATGCTCAGAGCAGTTAAATGTTCAGTGCCAATGCCAGGAATTCAGAAGTACCGTAGGGGTTTGGCAAAGGGAAAGACGGTTGGGAATGTTAAGGAATGCTTAAAGAAGGGGCTTGAGCTAGACTGCTACTTGTACATAAAATTAATTTGGACAGAAGAGATGGAATTATTAGAAAGTTAAAAATACAGTGATCATCAAGTATACATATGTAACACACCTGCACGTTGTGCACATGTACCCTAGGACTTAAAGTATAATTAAAAAAAAAAAAGTCAAGAAACAATAGGTGCTGGAGAGGCCGTGGAGAAACAGTAACACTTTCACACTGTTGGTGGGAATGTAAATTAGTTACATGATTGTGGAAGACAGCATGGAGATTCCTCAAGGATCTAGAATCAGAAATACCATTTGACAGAGCAATCTCATTACTGAGTATATACCCAAAGGAATATAAATCATTCTACTATAAAGACATATGCACACATATGTCTATTGGAGCACTATTTACAATAGCGAACTAATGGAATCAACCCAAATGTCCATCACTGATAAACTGGATAAAGAAAATGTGGTACATATACACCAGGGAATATTATGCAGTCACAAAAAGGAATGAGATTATGTTCTTTGCAGGGACATGGATGAAGCTGGAAGCCATCATCCTCAGCAAACTAACATAGGAACATAAAACCAAACACCGCATCTTCTCACTCGTAAGTGGGAGTCAAACAATGAGAACACATGGACACAGGCAGTGGAACAACACACCCCGGGCCTGTTGTGGGGTTGGAGGAAAGGAGAGGGAATTTATAGGACTAGTCAATAGGGGTAACAAACCGCCATGGCACATGTATACTTATGTAACAAACCTGCACATTTTGCACATCATCCTGCAACTAAAAGTAAAATAAAAATAAAATAAAATAAAAACACTGGCTAAAAACAACAACAAAAAATTACAGTGATCAGGCCGGGCGTAGTGGCTCACACCTGTAATCCCAGCACTTTGGGAGGCTGAGGCGGGTGGATCACGAGGTCAGGGGTTTGAGACCAGCCTGAAAAACATGGTGAAACCCCGTCTTTACTAAAAATACAAAAATTAGCCAGACGTGGTGGCACGTGCCTGTAATCCCAGCTACTCAGGAGGCTGAGGCAGGAAAATCCCTTAAACCCGGGAGGCAGAGGTTGCAGTGAGCAGAGATCGTGCCACTGCACTCCAGCCTGGGCGACAGAGTGACACTCCATCTAAAAAAAAAAAAAAGTGAACATTCATACCACCGTAATCCTCATAGAACTAACTGTGACCCTTTATTTTCTTCTGTAATTTATTTCCTTAATGAGTTTCTGTGTGTCCTTTATAACTTAAATACCCACCTACTCTGGAAGACCTCTTAAATATTCTAGCTCCCTTTGATCCCTTTCTCTATATGCTTAAAATATACTTTGAAAAGTGAATACTTTTTGTAGGTTCCTAATATTTTATGATTATCTTTTCAACTAAATTGTAAACTCCTTGAGAAAAGATATTAATTCTTATATAGCAGATATTGTATCTTCCATAGGATGAACATGGTGCTAAGCATTATATTGAGTACTCATTGAAAACTATTTGGATTCTTTCTGTTTTGTTTTCTAGGAGTGTATGGTGAATAAATTCAAGAAAACATCTATTCGTAAGCAACAGACAAATAATCAAACAGAAGTAGTTAAAATAATTGAAAAAGATGTTATGGAAGGTAAGTATTTAAAACAAATTATTTTAAAATTCTACATGTATTTTTACCTGTTTAAATGTAAATGATAGCCACTAGAGTGATATAGTACAGTCATATATACAGTAGCTCTGAGTGAGTTACCAGAAATGAACTTCTTTGTCTTCCTGTTCTCATGCTTACAAATTTATCATTACCTGCCATTACTTTCTTCAATTCAGTTTGAGAGGAAAAGTTACCTTTTCCTCTGGATGAAAGATACTTCTCTCTGTTCTCTGTTTCTGTTATTCCTTCTCCCAAAATTCAAGTTATGAACTCTTCTGTTTTTTAGTCTTTCCTTCTCTTTTGATTCCATCTCTGGAGTCTGTAAATATGCTTTTACTTAAAAAAAAAAACAAAACAAAAACGAAAACTAACCAAACAAAAAACAGCCAACAAAAGGAATAAAAAAAGGAAAGAAAAATAGACGCTAGTTCTCCTAAGTAACCTATCTTCTTTTTCATTTTAAATAACCAAATAACCATGCTTCTTTAAGCATAATCCACACTAGTCTCTGCTTCTTCGTCTCCCATGTATTACATTAAACACATTAAACAACTTTCGACTACTCTTAGTCTACTGAAACTGCTGTAACAGAAGTTATCAACACCAACTCCTCTAGGTTCTTTTGAATCATTATCTTCCATAACGTTTTTTACTAACTACATTATTCATGAATCATTTTTCTTGCTTTGTTTCTGTGGCACTTCACTGGCCTAATGTTTTCGTTATCCTTTTGTCATTTTTTAGTCTTTGTGCTTTCTCTGGCAGTCTTTTAGAATTTGATGTTTCTCAGTACCTTGTCATTAGCTCCATTACCATCTCCTTTTATATTCCTTCCTAATAAATTCACTTACTTACAGAGCTTAAGTTAGTATCTAGATGTTCGTTACTTATACATCTATATTTCTAGCACAGATCTTTCTTCTGAACTCAGTCTTACACATCTGCCTACTGACATCTCTCTACAGTAGTCACACAAAATCAACATATCAAAAAAATTTATCATCTCTTTGAGCATATCCTACCTTACATAGAAAGCAAAACAAAACCTCACAGTTTTTTCCTTCATTTATCTTGAAAAGGGCCTGCACCATCTACCAAAGCCGGAAGTAGAGAGTTATACGAGGTACTTTTTCCTTACTGTATCTCAAGTACTGATCAATTGAGAACGTCAATTCTATCTTTTAAATATTTATCAAATCTGTTTCTTTACGTCTCCTTTAAATACTGTATTTGTTCAAATCCTTGTCTGTTGTCTTGACAATTGTAGTATTTCTGAAGTAGTTTCCTTACTTCCAGTTTTTCTTTTTTTTTTTTTTTGAGACGGAGTCTTGCTCTGTCGCCCAAGCTGGAGTGCAGTGGCGCGATCCTGGCTCACTGCAAGCTCCGCCTCCTGGGTTCACGCCATTCTCCTGCCCCAGTCTCCCGAGTAGCTGGGACTACAGGCGCCCGCCACTGCGCCCGGCTCATTTTTTGTATTTTTAGTAGAGACGGGGTTTCACCGTGGTCTCGATCTCCTGACCTTGTGATCCGCCCGCCTCGGCCTCCCAAAGTGCTGGGATTACAGGCGTGAGCCACCGCGCCCGGCCCCAGTTTTTCTTATCTATGATTTTACCACATGATTTCATTGTTTCAGGAACTTTCAGTGGCCTCTCATCCTCTCCAGGATCAAGTTCAAATTCCTAGGCATGGCACATAAAGCTCTTTATTATTTAGGCCCTTTTTTTCTATTTTCATCTTTAGTCTCTTCTTCTCTGTTCCAGTCGTACTAACTTGCAGAAAGTACCATTTTCTTTCACCCTTCCCCTGCATATGTTTATACCTTCATCTGTAATAAACCCTAGTCACCATTTGCAAGATCCAGAATATCTTTGTTCCTTATGAATCCAGTTTTGACATCATTTCCCCTTTTCTTACTCATCCACATTCATAATCATGGAAATTCTTATTTTACTAGAAAATCAACATTTGTTTTCCTTTATATTATAGTTTTGGGAGGGTGAATGTACCGGCCTCAGAGCATGGTTGTTTAACCTGATTAGGAACTATAATGTAATTATACCTTAATAATTTTAATTAGTTAGCGATATATTAAATCTACATATGTAGATTTATGAGATGTGGTAGAAATACTCAACATAAACCTGTTCACTCTGATCTTTATTTTGGAAGAAGGGGTATGGAAACTAAGTAGTAAAAACTTCATTGGTCAGAAATAATACATGAGTCATTTCTTTCATAATTGGATGTCTTTTGTAGGTGTTACTGCAGATGATCACATGATGAAAGTAGAGACAGTTCATTGCAGCGCTTGCAGTGTGTATATCCCTGCCTTACATAGTTCAGTTCAGCAGCACTTAAAGTCTCCTGATCATATCAAAGGGAAGCAGGTAAAATTTTGATCTGTCTTAATAAAGTTGCTGGATTATCCATCAATGTTTTATTGTTCTTTGGCCATAGCTTCACACCTATCTGCAATTTTATCAATTTTATCAATCTCATATGGAAATAACTGTGATTATATTGAGAGAGGCAGTATATAGTGGTTAAGAGTGAGCTCTAGAGTAAGATTCCCGGAGTTGTTCAATCTATAACATGTGTTAAGCAAGCAAGTTAGCCTTTCTTTGTCTAAGTTTCCTTATCTGTAAAATGAGAGTAGATGATCATTCTACTCTTACCTCATTTTTTTAAAGAATTAGATTAACTAAAATGTATAAGGCAATTAAAATAGTGTCTGGTAATGGTAAGCATTCAGGAAATTGTAGCTTTTATTGAACTGTTAACTTTTTAAAAAGTCAGTACGAAACAGTTTTGTGAGAGAGAGAGAGAGTGTGTGTGTGTGTGTGTGTGTGTTTTAGAATAAAAAAGTAAAGATTTGATTATTACTGATAAATTTTTCTGATGGTTGGGAAAAATACATTTAAAAACAGCATTACCAGCTAGCATCATTGTTACATTTTTTAGTAGAATATCCCTGAAAAATTTACTGTCTTTTTGGTTAGTATGTTTCTGCTTCTCTATTGGCGTGGCTGGTTTTATTTAGTCAGATTTACTTCAGGCAATACAAATGTTTATATTGTGGAAAATCGGTTTGTTTGAAAAGCATATTTAAAGATTCAAATATTAAAGCCTTAAGTTTTAAGTAGAACATACTCAGTGTTAAACTTGTATTTTGTATTAAAGTGAACCTCATTTAATTCAGATTTCTTCAAGCATTTTTGAACACATACAATCTTTTCTTAATCTACGTCTTTTTCTTCTCTTGATATTCCCTTGACACCATTTTGGCAATTAGACATTCTATATTGTTACCTTTCTTCCTTTGTATAATAGTCTTGAAATAACTACAGCCTAAAGGAAGACTAGATACTCTTGTAGTATGAAAAATTATTCTTCATTTTTTGATAGCATGAAAATTAATAGTTGGGGCCTGGGGAGGCAGATGGGGAGTGGAAAGAAGAGAAGGCAGCTATCTAGTAGAATCTAGACTTGTAGATTTGTGGGACTGAGTGTTTTCTGTTGAAGCTGATTGGCTTGAATCTTCAGTGTTTTAATTCATAGATTTAGATTGTGGTTATAGTAGGTACTGTTGCTCTATAGTTTGTAAGAAGATAAGTCATTCAAATCTAAGGGTTTGAGCATTAAGTGCTGTTTTAATTATGGAAATATTTTTCATAGCATGATTTTCAAGAACCCTCAGTGTGTTCTGTTTTTTATAGGCTTATAAGGAACAAATAAAAAGAGAGAGTGTCTTGACTGCTACAAGCATTTTAAATAATCCAATAGTGAAGGCGCGATATGAACGTTTTGTTAAGGTAAGATATTAGGGCAAAAACCTTTTCGATAATATTGTGGTATTGCAGTAATTAACTGGTGACATAGTAACCTTTTGTGATACTTGAATATAGTATAACATATTAAGAAGAATTTTACTCAGTATCTTGTATATAGGTAAAACATCTTTTTTCCTTATTGTTGGGTTGGTCAAGATGGGAGCAGTGATTCCTCTGATCATCTTTGTAGCTCTGAATCAATTGAGAAATACACAAGAATTAGACAGAAAATCAAAATGTCAGCTTTATTCTTGATTTAAGAAAAAATTGACTTGGAGAATATATCTTAGTTATGTAGTTGCTGTGAACTTTTAATATTTCACTTCTGAATTAGGTAGACTTAGATCCTCCCAACTTCTGTTACCAGCCCAGATGGAGAGCAACAGGCTTCTCCTAGTTTACCACATGGCGTAGAACAGACTAGGATGTACCTTTTCTGTCACTAGGAAGACCCAAAAGAGGGGACCCAGAAGGGATTGTATTGTGTACACCTAGTTTTTTCTTCCAAGCATACTAATTGCATATGTCATTCCTTTTCTTTGGATAAAAGTTGGAGGGTAGCAGGAAGGTCAGATATGTTGCTCCAGAAGAAGGAATCTCATGGAATTTGGAGGGCAGGAGAAGAGAGGTTTGCTTCTAATGTTAGGAAACTCAGATGTGGACTCTTTACTCCTCAGGGTTTTTGCCATATGTTATGGCTTGAATCCATCTTTACATAAAATTTATTATAAACACTATACAAATAAGAGCTTACTATGATTCAGGAGATTAATAGAAATCAATTTTAGAGGTTAGTCTTTTAGTTTTGTTCTGTTTTTACTTATAATACCCAGACTGGTCTGACAGAAGTTATTTTTCAGTCTTTACAAAATAATACCTACCTTAAAATCATTATTCTACACTGAAGAGAGCAGTTGTGTTGAAGATGTACAAGTGTGTTATTTGCATTAGTAAGTATAAAGAAGTTTTGTTTATTTTGTCTATTGTGACTGTTAACAGCTACTCTGAAGAAAACCTGATACATATTTAATGACCATTAAATTGTCCCTCTACCAGTTCTTTCCAAGCGAAATAATATCAGTTCTTTCAGCTTGTTCCTTAGGGACCTATTTTCTAATTTGTTAATTTAATATTTGTTAATATTTGTCACCGTTTACTACATTCTTGACACTGCTTTAAAAAAATGAATGCAGCCCTCAATTGAAATCCAATTTTATGGGAGGTATGGCATCAAAAAGAAGCATCATAGCTAAAGAAGGAAAGATTAGATTTTTATTTTTGCATTGTCACAAACTTCTGAGAAGTCAATGGTTTCTATTGATATGTGAAGATAATTTTTAATAAGGGAAGAATGCAAAATTAGAATTTCTATATAGTGTTTTCAGGTTACACATAGAATTTCTATATAGTGTTTTCAAGTTACACAATTGAGTCACTTCATGGAATGGGAGATGTCACTGGTGGGAGTATCCTGCTCATGCACGTATTATAGAGAACGCACCTGAACTGAGAACTCCTCTAGAACTTTGTTACTCAGAATGTGATCTGTGGATCAGCAGTATTGGTATCACTTGGGAGCTCATTAGAAATGCAGTATTTCAGGTCATACCCGGGACTACTGAAGAAGAATCTTCATTTTAATGAGATTCCTGTTGATTTATATGCATGTGAAAATTCAGGAAGCACGGGGGTCACATTACTCACTGATGGCCCTTTATTCGGCATGCCTGTCTGCTCTGTTCCCTGTTGTGGTTCCCCAGAACATCTTCTGCTCATGGTCAGCTCTGGTCATGGCTTAAAACTCCTCCACTGTCAAGTACTCTCTGTCTGACAAAATGCCCTTGTAAATCTTTGTCCCTTAGAGACACAGCAGAGAAGACAGAAAAAAACAAAATAAAACAAAACAAGTTTGTCCCCATCGAGATGATCAGTTCATCAATTTCTCCTAATTGTCCAACTGTATCATCTTGTTCTGCCTTCAGTCCTTGCTGTGGGCATTGATAATCACCCTTTCAGTAGGGAATGGTGCTGTTCTAAAATTCCTTATTCGTTCTAGCTCTATGGTTAGCTTTAATGTTTGTCTTTCTAAAAAATGTGGAATCGTGCGTGCCAGTCCTGTGTTTCCCAGATTTTTACTCAATTCACAATAATTTTACTTATTAACTACCAGTGTAATGTGTTTCCTATAGTGACTTTTCCAACCTTTAATAACTTCACATCTCAGATTTCATTCTTGCTCTCTTTGTTTTCCATATTCTTTTTCTTATATATGTGTTTATATTTTAACACAATCTCTTTGTGTTGCCCAGGCCAGAATGCATGGTGTGATAATAGCTCACTGCAGCCTTGAACTCCTGGGTTTAAAGCCATTTTCCCACCTCAGCCTCTTTAGTAGCTGGGATTACAGGCACATGCCACCACCTTCAGCTACTTCCCATATTCTTACTCTCCTGCATTAGGGAGATTGAGACCATTAGATGTAAATTCAGTAAGTGTTCGCATTTCTGTCTTAGATATATCTTTCCTTCACCTTTATTATCTGTGAGGAAAAATCATTGCCTTTCATATGTGTCCTAATTTCATCACTATTTCTTCCCTTACTTGCATCTGATTTTTTTCCTGTTTTTTTTTTTTTCTGATCTTCCTCAAATAGACATGCTTATGAGTTCCCTAAACTAAAAATGACTTAACTTTTCCTAGACTTTGGCCCACCCTATTTTATCATCTTTTCTCTTCCCAGAATACTTGAAATGGTAGTTTACTTTGCACGTGCTCTTTGCTTCCTCTCTATTAGTCACTCTTTAAACTAGTAGTTCTCAACCAGAGGTATGTGTTCAGTTACCCGTGAGGCTAAGATAAATGAAAAGCTGCCTAAGCCCTTTTTTTAGGCTTTCTGAATTAGGGTTTCCCAAACCTCACTGATAAATACCTCCTAAAATGCTTCTCTTACTTTGAGACAGAGCCTCACTCTGTTGCCCAGGCTGGAGTACAGTGGTGCGATCTTGGCTCACTGCAAACTCCACCTCCCAGGTTCAAACGATTCTCCTGCCTCAGCCTCCTGAGTAGCTGGGTCTGCGGGCGTGTACTACCATGCCAAGCTCATTTTTGCCCTGAAATGCTTCTTAAATGTGCAAGTTACCAAGCTTCTCCTGGAAATTTTGATTTAGGCGGTCTGAGATTGATCCAGGAATTGGTGTTTTCAGCAGGAGCTCCAGGACAGACTCAATGAAAATCTCAGGGTGTTGGAACCAGGGCCTGTGGTTTTTGACAGCTTCACAGGAAATTTTAAAGATACATTCTTGGACAACTGCTGCTGTCTTAACTGTCACATCATACTTTTGAAACTGCTCTGCCTAAGATTACTAATGATGTCATTATCAAATCTAGTGACCTTTAAAAAATTATAACATACTATTTTAAATGTATGAAAATAAGGGGATAGTACAATAAATCCTCAAGAACCTCCATTCTGTAATGATGATCAACTCTAGTGACCTTTTTCAATTGCTTTCTGCTTTTTTATACATATCATTTGACACTGTTGATCTATCACTTATTCTTGAAACTCTTTTATCAGGTAGTCTTTTACTGTCCTGGGTTTTCTCCTGCACCAAGTGTTCTTTCACTTCTTTTTTTTCTTTTTTTTTTGAGATGGAGTCTTGCTGTGTCGCCCAGGCTGGAGTGAAGTGGCACGATCTTGGCTCACTGCAAGCTTTGCCCCCTGGGTTCACCCCGTTCTCCTGTCTCAGTCTCCCGAGTAGCTGGGACTACAGGTGCCCGCTACTAATTTTTTGTATGTTTAGTGGAGACAGGGTTTCACTGTGTTAGCCAGGACGGTCTCGATCTCCTGACCTCGTGATCCGCCCGCCTCAGCCTTACAGGTGTGAGCCACCACGCCCGGCCTTGTTCCTTCACTTCTAACTTCTGCTGCCTCCATGTATAGAGTAGGCATCTTCATAGGGTTTTTATTCCAGCCCTTTTTTCTACTTAATCCACCAGTCCCATCCCAGGGCCTTGCCATTTAAGACTCTGGCTTCACCATGCAGTCTATGCAAGCAGGCAATTCATTAATGTAAATATCTTACTTTGAACTCTCCTCTCTTTTTTGAGTTGCAGATTTATAGCTGCCTATTAGACATCTAGATATCTGAAGTTTTAATTATATATATTAATAACATATACACACTTCCTCCCCTTTTCCTTTCCATTAGAATAGTGATTGTAACTTACCTGTTCTGTGAATAATGTCACCACATCTTTTACATTTCTGGTCTGGGGTATTAGAGTAGCTTCCTCACTAGTATTCCTTCTTTTGGTTCTCTACTTCATCCTTCACATTCCTGTGGCATTCATCTTAAAGGGTAGTGCCAGTCTTAATGTTTTCCTGCTTAATAACGTTCACTGTTACTTCATTTCTTACTACATTAATATAGCCTTCTGATATGGTCAAATTTGTTTGAGATTTGATCCAGATATATAATTCAAATATTAAAATAAAGTTGTACCTGTGAATGTTTACTGAGAGGTTTGTCTACTTTTTAAAAGTAGAAGTAAGGCATGGTATCTAATAGATTAGGCAAGGTACCTGATTTTCATTTGAGTTTTAAAGAGATTCTGTAACATTAAATACTCATATAATTAAGTAAAATGTAAATCTTTGTGTCATCTGTTTCTACCAAAAACAACACTTGCCTTTGTCATATATATATATATATATATGACATATATATGATTTTGTCATATATATATATATATGATTTTAGAAATACAGTTAAGGGGAAAATATGCTGCTCTTGGGAGTTAATATTCAAGTGTGCATCAATTTTTTGAATACTTACCCTAGAAGATTCCAGTTATGGAGTATAAAGTAATGGCTTCAGTAAATTATATGCTCACATTGGTATGAAATGGACACTCAGCAAATATTTAATGAATTTGTTACAATTTATAATGAAAAGTTTCAAAATGGCATTTACTTCTCATGATATGGCAAGTAAAAATTTCACTTGCCATATCATGTAATAATGAATGTGCTGATTTTAAAACCCATTTCCTATGTTTTTAGGGTGAGAATCCTTTTGAAATTCAAGACCATTCTCAGGATCAGCAAATAGAAGGAGATGAGGAAGATGAAGAGAAGATTGATGAACCTATTGAAGAAGAGGAGGATGAAGAGGAGGAAGAAGAAGCAGAGGAAGTGGGGGAAGTAGAGGAGGTGGAAGAAGTAGAGGAAGTGAGAGAAGGAGGAATAGAGGGCGAGGGAAATATAGAGGGAGTGGGGGAAGGAGGGGAAGTAGGGGCAGTGGGAGAAGTAGAGGGAGTGGGGGAAGTAGAGGAAGTAGAGGAAGAAACAGCAAAGGAAGAACCGGCTGATTTCCCTGTTGAGCAACCTGAAGAAAATTAAATATAAGATATTAGATTTAAAAGGAGCTTTACATTTCGGTTCTAATGTAAAAAAGGGTAAGACATTTAATAGCTTAAAATATGAATTAACACCCATGTTGCATGCATTCCACATATTAAAATTTGTTTTATATAATTTCTAAATGTTTAACATTTGTTTAATAAAATGAAGGTAAAACTATTTTAGTTTAGTTTTTATAGCTACCAAACTTAGATCTGATAAATTGTTTGTATAATTTTTAAGCTTAATTTTTATTACTTTATTGGTGTTAAGGATAACAAATGTGTATTGTTAGTATAGCTATTCTAATAATTTTATCTTAAATGCTGCTCTTGGGAGTGAATATTCAAGTGTGCATCAATTTTTTGAATACTTACCCTAGAAGATATAAACTGGGCAAGTATTTTGTGCTCTGACTGTGTATTTTTTTACTGCATTGGACATTGAATAGTAATTTGCGTTAAGATAGGCTTAAAGGCTCTTTGTGACCATGTTTCCCTTTGTAGCAATAAAATGTTTTTTACAAAAAACGTTCTCCCTGGATTAGCAGTTTAAATGAAACAGAGTTCATCAATGAAATGAATATTTAAAATCAAAATTTGCCTTAATGTATCAGTTCAGCTCACAAGTATTTTAAGAGGATTGAGAAGACTTGAAGTAAAGAAAAAAAAATTCTCAATCATATTTTTAAAAAGTAAAACTAAAAATTTTTTAAAAAACACATTTCAAATAGAAGTGAGTCTGTAACTGACCTTATTTATACTCTTTTTAGTTTGTTCCTTTTCCCTGTGCCTGTGTCAAATCTTGAAGTCTTCCTGAAAATACATTTGATACAAAGTTTTCTGTAGTTGTGTTAGTTCTTTTGTCATGTCTATTTTTGGCTGAAGAACCAAAAAGCAGACTTTTCTTTTAAAAGAATTATTTCTCTTTCAAATACTTCTATCCTTTTTTAAAAATTACTTTTTATGGCTTATATACCTACATATATAAAAAGAGAACTTGAGCTTGATAGAGGATCTATTCTTAAGTCATTTGTTTTCAAACAACCATCTATCTATGTCACTAATAAGTAGTGCTCTTGTTTTTTTCAGTCTTTACTGTGGCCTCTTTTGAGAGTAGGGTCCGTTTTTTTTTTTTCTTTTTTGGGACAGGGTCTCACTCTGTCGCCCAGACTGGAGTGCAGTGTAGCCTCAACCTCCTGGGCTCAAGTGATCCTCCAACTTAGCCTACCACATAGCTGGTACTGTTAAGTGTGAGCCACCATGCCCAGCTAAATTTTGTAGTTTTCGTGGAGACAGGGTTTTACCATGTTGTCCAGGCTGGTCTCGAACTCCTGGGCTCAAATGACCTGCCTGTCTTGGCCTCCTAAAGTGCTGGGATTACAGGTGTGAGCCCATGCCTGGCGTAGGGGGCTGCATTTCAGTGAAATTAGATTCTTAAAGTTTTGAGGCATTGTATGGATAAATGTATTATATCAGATTGTAAGGCATTAAGTGGGTGAATATATGGACATTTGTAGAATCCCACAGATAATTTATCTTTTTGTATAAAATAAGACTTTTAAAACTAGACTTTCTGGACCAATACAGTTTTTTTTTTTGAGGTGAACTAAGTTTGCCTACCTTAAAGCTAGGAATATCCAGTAGATACTTGCATCTAATTTTAGGGATTTGGTGCCAAATAAGAGAAGGTTATTTGAAGACTAGAGAAATTTGGATACTCTCTAGGAGTCTGTATTTACTTAGCAGGCTTTTGAAAGCCTTTTTGCTTAGTTCAAATTTTAGGGATAATAGGACTTGTTACCCGCTTGTTTCTCCTTTATTTGAAAATATTTGTGGAAGGGCTAAGGTAAAATAATAATAAATTCCTCTAGGTTATTAGTATTTGGTTCTTTTGATACTAAGCTGAGTGATTTTTTAAAAAACAATGTCTCTGGTAATCTGATTGAGATATGAAACTTTTGGAAAGAAGACTGTGTAACAAAAATTCTATGTAACAACTGGATAAATGTTTTAGAATGAGAGATAGGAAAGAACATCTAAGTAGTGTTTTTTTGTGGGACACATGAGCCTTTATACAGACTAGCTAATTTGCAAGATAATGATAAAAGTGTATTTTGTTACTGTGCTTTATTCAGAAATTCAAATTCATGTATTTCCTATTGGGTAATTTGTAGATGGGCAGTTTATAGGCAAGTTAGTTTTTGTGATCCTTAGTGTTTATATTTTCATTGCTTTTGTAATAAGGATTTATATAAGATCTTAAACATCTTTCAACTTCTGTTTTCCAATTATCACTTGTTTTCTCTATTACAAAGTGAGATACATAGTTCTAAATAACCAAAGACATTTATTTATAACCTACACAGTTGTTTCAGCTACATGCCTAGGGACTATCCTGTATTCTTCCCTTTGTATCACTTCCTACCTCCAGTCTGTCAAAAAGTCTGTCTGTTCTACTTCCAACATTTATCTGCCCACTCTTCTACCTCCACGGCAACCAACCCAGTTCAAGTCATGATCGTTTCTTATTAACGAATCTTGATTCCACCCTTACTGTGGTAGATTCAGTTTTCTACACAAGTATAAGCTTTTAAAAATGTAATTCAGATAATGTTAATCTCATGCTTTTTTTTTTTTTTTTTTTGTACCTATACAGTTAGAACTCCTTATCATGTTGATCAGACTGGCCTAGCTTTCCAACTTTATAGCATATGCCATTCTTCTCACCAGCCATAATGGCCTTCTGTTACTTTTTTGATGAAGTTCTTTCCTACAAAGACCTTTGCATTTTCTGTTTCTATAGCCTGTACCCATCAGCTTCCCTTGGCTGATTCTTCATCCTTCAGGTCATCTTAAATGTTAGAAAACGGGAGTAGTTCTAAAATGTTTGTAGAAGCGAGGATTTGGGGGTACCAACCTAGATTTTACTAGAGCATATTCTTTGGAGATGTTCTTTTTTCCCACTTTTTATTTTTATTTTTTTAATATAGGATCTCTCTTTGTCATGCAGGCTGGAATTCAGTGGCATGATCATGGCTCACTGCACCCTTGACCTCCTGGGCTCAAGTGGTCGTCCCACCTTAGCCTCCCAAGTAGCTGGGACCACAGGTGTGCACCATCACACTCAGCTAATATTTGTTTTGTAGAGATGGTGTCTTGCTTTGTCACCAGGCTAGTCTTGAACTCCTGGACACAGGCAGTCCTCCCACCTCAGCCTCCCAAAGTGCTAGGATTATAGGCATGAGCCACCACGCCTAGCCTGGAGGTGATATATTTTTAACAAATATCTCACATGATTTTGAAGGTGGTCAGTGATTGCACTTTGAGAACATTCATAGGGCCCTCAAACAAATTCCTGGTGCCTGTAACTCTCCCCTATCAAGACAGGAGTTTCTGCCCTTTTGAATATAAACATAGGTTTGGGGAATTCTTCATAATATTTTCTGAAAGCACTGGAATCTGTAATAGACCTGCGGTAGTCAGAAAATGGGGCCTTCCCCCCCCTCATTTAATACTTACAACTGTATTGTGAAGTTAGTAGGATTAGTACTTTTCTCATATAATAAGCTCATTCTTGTACATGTAGACACAGAGAAAAGAACTACAAAGGTAAATGTTAGTGCATGTTGAAATGTATTTAAGAACTCTGTTTTAATCTTGTGGATATTATCAGATTATTTTAGATGTTATTTAACATTTGATTTATTTACCAAATTGTCCTTACTTTGAATATAAGCAGACTTTTTTTATTGTGGTAAAGTATGCATAGCATAAAATTACCATTCTAATCATTTTTTAATGTACCATTTAGTGGCATTAATTACAAGCAAACTTTTTTTTTTGAGACATAGTCTCACTCTGTGACCCAGGCTGGAGTTCAGTGGCACTATTTCAGCTCACTGCAACCTCTGCTTCCTGGGTTTAAGCGATTCTCATGCCTCAGCCTCCCGAGTAACTGGGATTACAGGCACACACCACCATGCCTAGCTATTTTTTTTGTATTTTTAATAGAGATGGGGTTTCATCCTGTTGGTTAGGTTGGTCTTGAATTCCTGACCTCAGGTGATCCGCCTGCTTTGGCCTCCCAAAGTTCTGGGATTATAGGCATGAGCTGCTGTGTCTGGCATACAAACTTTTGATTACAGTTTGAGACCTGTTGATGGACAGAAAATGGAGTAACCACACAGGCAGAAATGTTCTAGTCTGCGTGACAGTTACGGTTCATTTTATAAATAAACCATTTGACTTTATTTGGTAGTTATGGTTCCTATCCTGAGTGCTGGATCTCTATTTGGTATTTGAACAAATCCAGGGAATCTGCAAGGCTGAAAGGCAGATTCTTGGCAATGGTAAATTCAGTAGGTCCTGCCACCGTTTGAGGCCTCCTTGGAGACAGCCACACTAGTCTAATCTCTGCTTGACTTTCCCTTCTTTTTTCCCAGACCTCTAATTCCCAGAGGTCTGTTATGAATTCTAATGCTTTCAGAACATACTACGGAGAATCCCACAATGATAAATTTTCCCAGTTTTTGTTTTAAAACAAAGTTTAAAAATACTATATTAGGGGTTAGGGTGAGGTGATGTTGATGTTGACAGATGGCCCCCTTGGTGACAGGGAGGTATGAAATAGCATGGAGTGTGGAAGGGTACTATGAGTAGTTTATTTATTAGATCAGTATAAAGTATAGATTTAAAAGAGATTAAAATGGCATGCTTGATTCAAGTCATTATATTCTAAAGTTCTATTAAAATTATAGAGGAGGTACAGTAATATAAATTTCAGTAATAAAGATAGCTTTATAATCACACTAGAAAGACAAGTGTGCTGTGAAATATTTCTAGAAGATTTCTAGAAAACAAGGAATTAGATGTTAGTGAAACCAAGAGAGCCAAGGAACTGACAGCCACATACAGATGATAATTAAAGAATGACTCTAGTTGTAGAGACAGCTCTGAGATGGGATGTCTGTAGTGTGCTAAGGCAGATTTTTAAAGGACTAGATAGTTATTCTGGTCTCTGACTCAGAGCTACTGGTCCACACAATTCCTCCAAGCTAAAGCTATAACACAACTTGATGTTTGCCAAATAAGGTGAGACTCACAGAGTATATACGCAGAGCATATAAATAGGGGTCATCGAAGTGTGGCAATGCCCTAGGTATATTGTGATTACCGCAAGGAGCTTTGTTCCTCATACTTACAAGCAAACAAAAATCTGCCAGCTGTCTATTTCCCAGTTTTCCTTCTGACTGTTCCTTTCTCCTTTCTCACACAATTAAAATGCTAGGTTTCCTGTAATCACAATCTTCAGGAAATTTTTCACTCAAGCCCAGAAAATAAACTCCAGATAATGATACTGAGAAATTTATTGGTTGGAAAACTATCTGCGGCCTCCCCATTTCTTAGTAGATTTTACATTTTTAAAGGGTTGTAGAACACCAAAACAATATATGACAGATACTGTGTGTGGGCCTCAAAACCTAACCTTTATATAAAAAGTTTGTTGACTCCTAGGCTCTAATTTGCAAATAGACAAACAAATGAGAAACAGCAAAAACTTAAGGAAAAGAGCGACATGAAATATGTACAGTAAACTTAACAAGCAGAAAGAATTCCTGGGAAAACAATTCAGGGGGAAAAAAATGACCAAGTATAATTAGTATTATATGGAATAATAATTAGCGCTACTTATAATAGTTTTATATGTAATCCTCATCATATTATATGTCATAATCTTCAAGTATTTTAGAGGTTATTGTACTAATTTAAAAAATGCAAGTTGCTATAAAGAAGTATCTTGGAAATAAAAAACAGTTGTGAAAATAAACTCTGTTTTAGGCTGATTAGTTGAATAAACATGGCTGAGAATCAAATTACTGAGCTAGAATTTTGAGCTGAAGATACTTCCAGAGGCTTACAAGAAAAGATGAAAAATATAGAAGTTACAGTAAAAGACATAGAACATGTATCTCTTAAAGACATAGAAAACCGAGAACATCTGTTTAAAGATTAAGCTTCATGAGATTAAGAGCCATATGTATAGAGAATTCACCATTGAATACCCTGCATGTATCACAGGCCAGGTAAATACTATGCAATAAATATTTTTGAATGTATAAAAATATGTATGTAAGTATAAATATATAGAGGAGTTCCAGAAAGTGAAAAAAGAAGTGAAGGATCAGAAAAAAAAATCTTCTGATGAAAGATTCATATTAGAAGTCTCCAGTGCTGAGCAAAAACAATGAAAAAGTCATACTGGATGAATACTGACAAAATACGTGTAATCCCAAGCTTAAGAGAAAAATCTCAAAATGTCTAAAGAGAAACAGTGTACCTTTAAGGGGAAAATAATTGGTCTCAGACTTGTCATCTGTACATTGGAGTACTACAAGATACTGCTATTTTTGAAGTTCTGAGGGAGAACTATTTTGAATTTAGACTTCTGTCTTGAGTGAAACTATCAAGAGTAAGGGCACAGTAAGGACACTAGCAATTTTAGAACATGCAAGGATTTCAGAAATTAACTGTCATGAAACACACTATGCACACCATGATATCAAATTATGTAAAGAAAAACTTGGATAAACAAGAAATTGACGTAATCATAGCTACCTATTTGAACACAGCTCTTAGAAATTATCAGATAAAGAGTTCAAAATAGAGGAAACATTTTGAATTATATAGTGCACAAATTTTAATAGCTGTAGAATATTTCTTTTCAAATGCCACGAAAAGACCATGAAGCAAACCACAATATTTTTTTGTTTGTTGATAGGTAGGAATTCAGGGTCCATCCTGTCATGACAATGCAGTGAAACTAGAAATTAGCAAGTGGATAGCAATAAATCAATTTTAAACAATAAGACTAAAGAAAACACTCCTTATAATGCTTGCATTTAAAGGGAAATAAAAACGTACGAAAGAGAATCCCTATTTAAGCAGTTCTAGATTAAACAAAATGTTGAAACATCTCAATTTGGTCTCCGAGGCTAGCATAATCCTTATTCTAGAAAATTGTTCATCAAAGATAACTATGGACCAGTCTCACTTATGAACAAATGTAATCATTGAAAAAGCAAGACCAATTAAATACCCCGAAATAATGTGTCATGGTAGAGTAGGGTTTATCTGAAAAGTGCAACATAACATATTATGTAACTCAATCCTTTAGGAAATTTATTACTTTAACTTGAAAAAAAACAAGATAAACTTGATAGATGCTGGAAAAACATTTCCTAAGATTTAACACATTCCAGATTAAAATTTGTCAGGCTGAGAATAGAATAAACCTTTTAACTTGGCTAAGGAGTAGGGAGGTCTTCCAGAAAGCTCCAAACATCTGCATTCAAGTCAGGATTAAGACAATAATGACCGTTGCCTATGCAGCAATCATTTAACCCTAAGAAATAGAAGTATTAGGAAGAGACAACATAGTCCTTATTTTGAGCAGTGTGATTGTAGAGACAAACATCCAAGAGAATCAACTGAGAAACTATTAGACATGATAAAAGGGAGTTTTGTTTAATAGTTCATCATGAAAATCTGTACTACATAGAAAATCTGTATATAGAATATAGCATTGGCCGATTGGAAATGTAATTTGAAAATCCCATTTGCAACAAAACTTGGAACTGTATACTGTCTAAGAAATGGGAAAAATGCAAAATCCATATGAGGAAAATGATACATGTTAATGGAGGAAATAAAATACCTGAATAGATAAGCACTGTGTTTCTGTCTGAAAAATATTGTCTATATGCCAGTTATCTTCAGATAATTCATTAATTAATTACCATTCCAGTTGTTACTTAGGGTTAGTGGTGGCGGTGAGAGAAAAGTTAAAAATACCAGCCTTGGGAACATTGAAGTGTCTTTCTCATATATATAAGTTCAGGTAGACAAGGCAGGGCTGGTGTCACCCTTCAAGATGTCAGAGACTGAGGCTCCCTCTATCTTGTTACTTTGCTGTCTTTAAAACCTTATCTTTGACAGGGCGTGGTGGCTCGAGCCTGTAATCCCAGCACTTTGGGAGGCCAAAGCAGGCCGATCATGAGGTCAGGAGATTGAGACCATCCTGGCTAACATGGTGAAACCCCGTATCTACTAAAAATACAAAAAATTATCTGCGCGTGGTGGCAGGCGCCTGTAGTCCCAGCTACTTGGGAGACTGAGGCTGGAGAATGGTGTGAACCCGGAAGGCGCAGTTTGCAGTGAGCCGAGATCGCGCCACTGCACTCCAGCCTGGGTGACAGAGTGAGACTCCCTCTCAAAACCAACCAACCAACCAACCAACCAACCAACCAACCTTATGTTCAGTTGTCCTGTGTATATTCCAGCCCATGGAGAGGGAGAAAAGGACTGTTCCCAGAAATTGTACCTACTTTTCTACATGAATCTCATTGCTTAAAGCAGCCACATGAATACAGCTAGCTTCCAGGATGGGAATTGTGTTTATTCTATATGGCCATGTTCCTAGGTGAAAAGGAAGGGCTTCTATTAGAGAAAAAGGGGAGAATGGATGTTAGCATATATTAGTGTATTACTAGCAGTGTGTACCGCTTAAGTTTATTCAGAAACTCATATACAAAGTTAATAACCAAGAAATTTTTTTTACATGAGGAACATTTGACTTACATTTCTTACTACAACCATACAACAAAAGAATAAGTATATCAAAGATTAATACATCAATGAAACATTAAAGAAACAAACTCAAGTAATGTGTAGATATATAGTTACATGCTGAAATCACGGGTAAAAGTCCAGGCACAGTGGCTCACACCTGTAATCCCAGCACTTTGGGAAGCCAAGGCAGGTGGATCGCTTGAGGTCAAGAGTTTGAGACCAGGCTGGCCAACATGGTGAAATGCCCTCTTTACTAAAGATACAAAAATTAGCCGGGCATGGTGGTGCGAACCTGTAATCCCAGCTACTTGGGAGGCTGAGGCAGGAGAATCACTTGAACTCAAGAGGTGGAGGTTGCAGTGAGCTGAGATCAGGCCACTGCACTCCAGCCTGGGCGACAGTGAAAACCTGTCTTAAAAAAGAAAAAGAAAAGAAATCATGGGTAAAAGAAAAGGAGCTTATGAATGATTAAAAAAAGAAAAATAAAAACAAAAAACATAACTACCTAAGTACAAAAACAAAATGTAGGAAAAATCATTTCTAATTTCAGAGTGGAGGTCTTTCTACGTGAATTATAAACCCCAGAAGTCGAAAAGAAGAAGTTTGACAGATTTGGTACAAGAAGAAAAAAAACCGAAGGGTGAAAGACACCATTAACAAAGTTGAAAGAAGAGAAATGGGGTGGGGGGAATATTTGCAATATGTATAAGAGTAAAAAGAGTAAATTAAGTCAACAGCCCCAATTTATCAACCATTACCTTGGTAAATATGAAAAGAATTATAATAGTCACTGTTGGTGAGGAAAACAAAACAAGCCCTTTCCAAGATGATCCATGGCTGTATAAGTTGGAGGACAATTTGGAAGTATCTAGCAAAATCAAAAGTGTACATACCTCTTAATCTAGCAGTCCCACCTGTAAATAGCTATGTATTTGCCAGAAATCACAAATGTCTGAAATACACATGAATGAAAAGATACCTCTTTCATAAAATGTAAAATGCATTAAGGCTAATGCTTTTTTTATTCCTACAGGAAAACGTCAAAAAAACAAACAAAAAAAGAGTTTACAAAACAAATACCACCTGGATGACAGTGATGGTAACAAGCCATCAGTTGTAAGATGCATCCAAGCACCAAAAATGATAAAATGTGAAGGCAAAAAGTCTTTTTTGTTTAAGAATTGATGAAACAGGATATAGCTATAACAATGGAGTTTGCAGCATTATTTGTAATAATGAGAAATAGGAAACATTTAACAATAAAGGGAATAATTAAATAATGGTATGGGCACCGCAACTAAATACTCTAGCCATTAGGAAGAATGAGAGAGATATGTATGTTTTGACTTGGAAAAATCTCTAAGATATATTGTTAAGAGGAAAAAAGCAAGTTACAGTATAATATATAGTATATATTAGAGTTTCACTTAGGAAAAATGATATATATGTATATATGCAAGTATACAAATTCCAAACTGTTTCTACAGGATGCATAGAAATAAAAATACATTTGCCTAGAAAAAATGTCTGAAAGGATATATAAATAGTGTTTACATATGAAGAGGGAAGTTGAACTGGGAGAGTGGACTTTTTTTTTTTTACTGTACCAATTTGTTATTTAAAAAAATTTTTAAAACAGTAGGTTATAATGATGTTTTACATTATAATGTAAATGTTAAATCTGGAAAATATAGAGAAGTATAAAGAATAAAATAAAAATACCTAGAATTTAACCACCAAGATAAATAGCACTATTAATAGTTTTTGTACATTTCCTTATGATCCATTTTCCTTTTCAAGGAGATACATATTGATACTGTTTCTTAAGAGAAACAGGAAAAGCAGATTTACATGAGGAAGATGATAAATCAAATTTGGGACATGTTAAATTGGCATTGCCTGTGGGACACTGAAATTGTGTTGTCAAGTAAGCAATTCAATATATGGGTATGGCGTTTAGGGGAGCTCATGGTCAACTTAGAGTATTAATGCTTTCTCTTTCAAGTAAAGAATTTTAATATTCATGTGTCTGACACCAATAAAAATGTAGTTCCTTGGGGCAGCATAGTGTAACACAGCTTATTAGCCTTGGGCTTTAACAAACCTTCCTTCCCTGCTGTTCCCCACTCCTACCCCAGCTGTACCATCTTTTAGTTCTGTCCATCTTGGGAAAAACGTTTAAGAAAAGCCTCTGTTTTC